TCTGCCAGCGTGTGGAGCGCCGTGTTCACGGTCGGGCCATCGCAGTGGTGTCACTCAGGCGTTGGCTCCTTGCAGATCAGACACAAGTGATCCCCGAAACATCCTTTCCCAGTGATCACCTGCGTCAGTCGATATGAGAGGGTCCCGTGATGCCTCTCGAGCCAATCCTCCATAACGGGTCTTACCGCCGCGATGACGGCGTGCCCGACAAACTTCCACCTCTAAAGGTATGACTAAAAATGGGTCAAAAATGCATAAACATACTTTATTTCTAATGAAAAGTTAAAAACCCTCAAAAATCTTAGGAATAGTAGCATAATATTGAGTTTTATGCCTTACTTAAGAAATTATAAATTTTTGAGAAACCCTATATAAAATTCTACCCCTCTATTAACCCCCTAAGGTAAATAATTGGTAAATTGCATAAAAAATTCATTACAATTTCTACCCCCTTTTTTACACCCTTTATCCTTCCCCACAACTCAAACTGTCTCCAAAGGAAATTTTATCTAAATCGGGTAAGCGAATAGACAGACGAGAGACAGACAGACAGGCATACTTTCGCATTTATAATATTAGTATGGATTGTGAGGTTTGGACGCAGGGCACCACCATTTTATGTGTCTTTATGCTATTTCATCGCAGTGTTATCCTTGCTAGAGATTTCACAAAAAATTAAAGTTACGATTAGCTTTACTGTATGTTATTTAATCGCGACGTGGTGTGTTAAGAATTCTGTTACATTGTTTCTATCGACCTGTTTTCTTCAAGAGCAACCACGATAATTACAATGAACATGACAGAAAATAAAACTATTGTTATTTGTTGGATTACATGTTGACCTAGCTGACTCTTCTGTACGCATCGGCCTACGTATGAACTTGGATGAAACCAAGGTCTTGTTCAACGAACATGTACTATCGGAACCGATTGCGGTACACGGTGCCGTTCTCGAAGTTGTTCAAAATTATGTGTACCTCGGACAGAACAGGACAGGACAGGACAGGACGGTGAACAGAAGAATTCAGTTGGGTTGGAGCCGAAACGTGGACACTTACGGTACGGCTGGTCCAGAAGTTCAAAGTCGCTCAACGTGCTATGGAAAGGGCTATGCTCGGCGTTTCTCTAAAGGATCGCATCAGGCATGAGGTTATCCGGCAGAGAACCAAGGTCACGGACATAGCCTACCGGATCAGCAAGCTGAAGTGGCATTGGGCTGGCCATATTAGCCGCAGAACCGACAACCGTTAGGGGAAACGAGTTCTTGAGTGAAGACCGCGTCTCGGCAAACGTAGTGTAGGACGCCCACAGGCCAGGTGGAGTGACGATTTGCGCAAGATGGCTGGCAGGAGCTGGATGCGAGAAGCCCAAAATCCATCTCAGTGGCGTGCAATGGGGGAAGCCTATGTCCAGCAGTGGACTGTGATAGGCTGCTGATGATGATGATGAAATGAGACTGCTTTTTTCTTGGCTTACTTGCATTTACTTATTTACTGGTTAGGACAAAGTGTTTTAGGATTAGACATACTGAGTGCGGCATTTTAAATCTTGTTTGTTTGTTATTACTTCCGATCTTCGTCACAAATGACCAATTTGGAAAATTCTTTTTTTAAATAAAACTTCTTTAAGCCGCGTTGAGCAATTTTTGGTAGGGAATAACTTGTACGGGTTCGCGTCGTTTGTGACGTACTGCGCCGGACTTGCGACGCGTAGTTCCATTGTTTTGACTTTTCACTTTTCTCGGCAGTCCTTACGACTGCCTCTGTTTTTTTATGTTCCTGTTCGGTCCCATATAAATTTGAAGGAAAATGAAACAAAAAATTAACGATGTAGGCAATAATTTTTTAGTTCAATATGTATCTCCATTTCATTAGATTGTTAATTCTTTTACCTTATATTCAAAATGGTCGTTAAGTAATACATACTCACAGCGTGGTATTTCGGCGTAGTTCCGAAAATCTAAATTTTTTGTTTGATTTCAATGTCTTTGATTATAATAAAGCATACACAACACACGTTTAGATATAATTGTTAATTTAGGAAATATACATTTTAAAACAAGGTCAATGACCTTCACGTAAAATGATATTTCATGTATTTCAAGGATTAAAAGAGATTTCTCAGTTTTAAATCTTTTACCCTTGAACCGACTGCTTGTTTGCCCTCTATGCACATTAAAATGTTGTATTATACGTTTTTTTTTAAACGAGCAACCTAAAATATTCTAAAATCGGATTTTTAGCACCACAGATAAAAAAAACATATTTTTTTATTATAGCTTTGCAAAAAACCGCTTATTTAAGGACATAACATTCAAGAACTAGGGTCGTTGTAATGATATAAATACCAGGTGGCAGGCGTTATTAGACAATAATTAGATCATGAATGAAAAAACTAAAACTTGTTAGTACGTAAGTGCAAAACAGAAATTAAATGTGTGCTTAAGGCAGTCGATTGATTTTAGAAGCACTAACAACAAATAATATTGAACGAGGTTGCTCGCATAATTCTTGTTATCGAACTGCACTTGGTATCTTCGCAACATGTTCATTAATTATAATAATTGCGGGTCAATTGGAAACTGGCCTTTATCATACATCGAACTAGTAATAGTGTTTATGCCTATCGTACAATTTTAACATGTATTTTCAGATATTAAGAAAAGAAGCATCCGATTGTGGACGTGCCTCATTTAAGACCACATTACATCGTTTATCAGATAAGCGATATTAAATTTGCACAGTTGTGAGATGTATATTGTTTTAACTTCCTGGCTGCTCGGCACGCGTTGTATTAAACGAGAAAAGTGTGTTAAATGTGTTTAGTAAGACTTTCAGACAGTGTAAATAGTGCGGGTTGCTGGGTAGCAAATGTAACACAAGCAATCACGTGATATTAATACCATAGGAATTTGGTACTCACACGCTGATACCTAGCTTTGACGAGCTTTATTCAAACCCATTTCTTAGAGGTACGTAAATACCGAATCTTTACAGGTAATCGTTTTGTCTGTTTTTATCTAAACATACAAAATTACTTGGCCTGACAGACTGATTTTCAACGCAGAGCCTTAACCGCTTGTTTTTTTTATGGTATAAGGGGGCAAACGAGCAGACGGGTCACCTGATGGTAAGCAACTACCCCCGCCCATGGACACCTGCAACTCAAAAGTCACAAGTGCGTTGCTGCCCTTGGAGTCCCTCCCGCTCGAGTCAGCGGGAGGGGGGCTCCGGTAACCTCACTCACTCAGTGAAAGGCAAGGAAGGAATTGCTTAACACCGGTTTTCTGTGAGGCCGTGGTATCACTCCGGTCGTGGCGGCCCATTCGTGCCGAAGCATGGCTGATGGTTTTAAATTGTAAGCACCCACTAAGAAAGGGTGTTTGGCAATTTCACCCCTAAGAGGGTAAAATACGGGATGAACGGTTGTATTTAAGTTTGTTATTTTTAAGTTAGAAACATGAAATAATAACGCGAACATATCTCCGGGCAATAGTTAGTTTCTAATAAAACTAGTAAATTCATCAAAATGGACTTGCTAGTTTTTGCGCAAAATAAACCAAAAATAGTTTGCGTTTCATCGCAAGCAGATGGGATGACTAAGCGAATTTAAATTCAATGCCGACTCTTTTGTGACTTGTTGAGTCCAATCATTCGCCTTATTACTGATCTTAAGACCAAATTTTAGCGGGCATTCACGTCCAATGGATACAAATTTACGAGACAGGAAGCGGAGAGTTCGTGTGCGTTTTGCAATGTTTACATCGTGTTTAATTAAGCAACCGTGTATAATGCAAACGTACGAGGGCTGCTATTTATGAATCCGGAATAACAAGATAACAATATAGATTTATTGCTTTTAAAAGTATTCGCCGTGATGATCAATGCACTTTTGCATACGTTGGAACCGATTTACGTAACACTTTTTCCAATTTGATTGTGGTATCACCAAAACGTACATTAAGAACGCATCAACAGCCTCTCCAGGGCTCGAAAAACGTTGACCACGTAATTTATTCTACACGGTTGGGAATAAATAGAAGTTGTTGAGGGCCAAGGCAGGGCTGTACGGCAGATGACCCGTTAATTCGATCTTTTGATCTGCCAAATACTGAGTTGTTTCGGCCGATGTATGGCAGCTAGCATTGTCACGATGAAGAAGGATTCTGCGTTGTCAGTTATTCTTTCTTATTTCTTCAAAGACTTCTGGCATAAAAATGGTCGTGTACCATTCAGAATTAACCGTTTTAGTAGAAAAGTGCAAAAGTACACAGAGGCATTGAATAGAAGTTTAAAAACCTTCATAGCGAGTTCTTTTATCGCTTAAATTGTCGCCTGCTGCGTATTCTTAAAAGATTTGAAATGGTTCTGCCTCCAATATGATTTTCAATTTACATACATGATTATTGTCATGCTTATTATTCTGATTAAAATATCTGACACGGTATTGTTGGAACCAAAACAGAACCAGCGGTGCCTGGACTACACATGTCCTTGATATTCTCTTGGCTCGCTGTACTGTTGGTGTGACGAGCTCTGCCAAATTAACATGTTATTTGATTTTGTCCACTATCACGAAAATGGTATCGATGATAAACTGAATCGCGGGACCAGTGATGTTTTTTTCAAAGAAATTTCGTACTGACCATAAAGAAAAAAGTGTTATTTCTTAAATGTCATTGCAACAGTCTAATACATTACATACTTTTTTGACATTATAAAAAAATCAAAGGAGCTGATAACGTAATTTATGATTATTTTGAGTTTTAAAAATTTTGGTTTTTAACCCGTTTTTCTGAGAACTTTCAATATATATCCACATTTAGTTTTAACAGAATCATTATAGTTACTGGAGGACTTAACAAAAGCTTTAGACTGCTTGAAACTTACAACGGTTTTGCTATTTGATTACGTTGCAATCGTACAAATCGCAGCTGAGTAAAGGCGGCGCGGGCGCAGCCAGAACGCGAGCTGTCACCGCAAGCCGCCAGAGCCGCCGCTATGCCCACCACGACACCGACTCACCGGTAGGTGCCTGCCATCACTAACATATCTTATCACTAACAATTGGAACATTAAACATTGCAACAACCAAACATTCATTTTTTGATCTCGTTTTCTATCATCAATTCTGTATTTACATATTTACGTGATAAGCGCCGCAGCCTCATTTGGACGGTAACACCATCGCTCATTCTGGTCCCGTGTGTTTTTATAGTTGGTCGTGTCTGTATTAATATAACTCTATAATTAAGGTAAAAGAAACTCGAGCGTGTGATCTAAAGTTTCAATTTACGGGTGTTATCGTTACGGTGTTCACACATCCCAGTAAGCAGACGGTCTAAAATGTGAGTGATCAATAATCGTTTTACTATTTTTTATGTATTATACATCTAAGGAGTAGTGTAATTAGATGTAAGTTAAACTTCAATACCTGTTTATTACTGAATATATCTTTAACATAACGATTTAGGCAGCCTCATTACTGAGATCTCTTTGATACTATTTTTTTAGGAAATCTCATTCCTTTTGTTTGTACATGGTTTTGGTATCTAATAGCTTTTAGTTAATAAAGACAAAGCTACCTGTTATCATTGAATGCATCCAGACAATTGAGACGGCCTTTTTGGTCAATTTAAAAGCAAGATACTAAAACGTTAAAATTGAATAGATACTAGTGCGACTCAGGGAATCGCTTTAGTATCTAATTGCTGCTTTGCACTGTGACGTGCACTTATCGTGGCATTTGTGATATACATATAGTGTAGTGATTGATCGTTCCTTGTTGTTTGGTGCAGTCGCGGTGACCCTCGACACTAACGGCGGCAGTGAGTCGTTCCTCGTATCGACTCACTGCCGCTCTGTGGTGCCGTCACCTCGCCACTGCTAATTTGTTGTACTTGTACTTATTACATTTTGATTGCTAATTGTTTACTTAGCTCTTGTGTTGTATTATCAACTACGTGTTATACGTAATATCATGCAAATGATCACTCGCTAAACGGACACAAGTGTTCTTTGTATTTATATTTGACTTCAGATTTCGAGAGAATCGACAGTGTGTCTTGTATATAGTAATAAGTTTTTATATTACTAATTATAAATATTCCTTCAGTGATTTTTACGTTAAAATCATCTTTACGAGTTATAATTTATTACTCATGATAACTGAACTAAGTTATTATTTTTATTGATATAATTAAGATTGTGTGCTAATGACGGAACGTGTCGCACGCGCAGGTTGAGCGAGCAGAAGGAGAGGTCTCCGTGCCTGGATCGCGGCGACACCATTGCAGTCAGCATGTGGGGCGCACAGCGGCGTGTCACGCTCGACGTGCTCATGGCGTGCTGGGGGATCGGCACGTGGCTCGGCGTCAACGGCCTCTACGTGCAGCTTCCGCTGCTCGTCAAGCGACTGCCCGAGGGCTGGACTCTCCCGTCGTCTATGGTGCTAGCTATACAGCTCGCAAACATCGGCATCCTGTGTTACGGAGTTCTCCGAAGGCTCAGCTCCAGAATTTCAGAGGCCTTCTACATATACAGCCTCCTAACGATAGGGACGCTTGCGCTAATCCTGAACGCTTTCTTATACGACAAGACAAGTGTGATTTTTGACACCGAGCGCTCGATTGCGTACTTAACGTTGACGTTCTTCGCGGCGCTGGTGGGCTGCACCAGCTCAGTGTTATTCTATCCGTACTTAAGACATTTCCGTGATATATATCTCGCGACGTACTTAGTGGGGGAGGGGCTCAGTGGTTTTCTGCCTAGTATACTGGCACTGGTACAGGGCGTCGGTGGAGAGCCGGAGTGCTTACCTTCAGCGGACAATTCGACATTGGAGGCGCACTATCCGCCGCCGCGATTTGACACTACTGTGTTCTTGCTGCTGCTTGGCGCGTTGTCAGCGACAAGTCTGGTCAGCTTCACTACTATTAATAACTTTAAAGGCTTTCGTCCGGAGAGGGTGACTCCGGTGGCGGCGGCCAAAAATGAGGAGGCAACGAAAGATCACAAATCAATCTTAAGACCTCGTTGGATGTGTGTGCTTGTGCTGATGTTAGTACTAAACGCTCTGAGCAACGGCTTATTGCCGTCGGTTCAGCCGTATTCGTGTATGCCGTACGGCACCCGCGCGTACCACCTGGCGGTGACGCTGGGCGCCATGGCTAACCCGGCCGCGTGCCTTGCAGGCGTGTGGCTGCGCCCTGTGGATTCTAAAGTCCTCGGGGCGATGCTGGGCATTACTGTGCTGCCTTTCTGCTACATTATTGCGACGGCACTTCTCAGTCCGACGCCGCCGCTGCTGTACACCAATGTTGGTGAAATATTAATTGTAAGTCAGGTATCTTCTTTTTTGCATTTCCTTCTGTGTAAGCATATCAATGTTTGCAAAGACAATTACATAGACTCAGGTTAGTGGAGATCAAGAGCGTGTCTCTTGAACCCCAATATTCTGATACTCCCATTATCTATTGACATAAGTGGTCACGGGTACCTAAAATGCGCCGTTGTCTCGATAGACGCATGCAACAACGTAACGATGTTTCGGTGTTTAACATCAATCATTTATTAAGTGAGTTTTCTTTATAAGTCGCTCAGAAAAAAAAAATCGTTTCCTTTTAGCTGTAGTATAACCATTGTGGTATTTTTGTATGTATAAAATAGCAGGAGCGAATTAAAATTAAATTAATATTAAAACAAAAAACATATCTAATAACTAAAACGGCTAGACTAATAGTAGGACCTATAAGACAACGTAATATATTATGTATGCCTCACTAAAAAATCCTTCTCTTTTAGAGGAGAGGACAAATCTTCTCCTAAATTCAAGCTGTAACCTGCAGGAATGATTAGAATCGACTGGAGTATCGTTAGATCACTATGTCATCGATTAACAAACCATTATATAAATACTGAACAAATTATTATTCTTAGCAAAATCAATGTCTTGCAGGTGCTGTGCTGGATCAAGGTCTCCGGCGTGATATCATACGCACGTATGTGGGCGTACGGGTGGGCCCGAAGAGGGGGCGCCAAGGGCATGCGGGCCTGTGGAGCTGTGACTCAACTGGGGTCCATGTTTGGCTCCATAGTCACGTACTTTTTAGTCAACTACACGAATCTGTTTGTGCAGCCCAAAGATTGCAGTAGACTCCTAAGCAACCCATAGATAATGTATTTATTTAATGACAATATAGTTACCTATTGAATGTTGAACTTTATCTTCTGTGTTTTATTGCTTCTGTGTTTTTTCCGCTTTGGGTAAAGCTTCTCTTTTGTAGTTACGATCTTGCTTATCAAAAGGTGTCAGCATCGTTGTAGCGTTTTGAAAAGGAACATACATTCCTCTCTACAACGGCGAGTACTTAAAACAGTATAAGACCTCCAATACATGCAGAAGTGTTTTACTTCAGTTCTAGTTCAGTAACTTTTTTGAACCTAAGACACACAACAATCATTACGTAAAGCACTCTTTTCCCTCGATATTCATAAGTCGTGTGGGCCCGATGGAATCTCTCGTATCGTGTTGAAGGCGTGTAGCCTTTTTGACTCTCCTAATCCCAAGACGTTGTCCCGAACTCCTGGAAGGTAGCATTTGTGCACCCTATCCCTAAGAAAGGTGACTCCTGTGACCCGTCCAACTACAGGCCTATAGTCATAACTCCTTTTTTCTCTAAGATTATGGAATTCATAATCAATTGCTAGCTTCTCCGGTACTTAGATGATCACCAGCTACTCAATGACCGATAATATGGTTTTCGCCGGGCTCGCTCAGCTGGTGATCTTCTCGTCTTTCTAACACACCGGTGGGCACAGGCAATCGAGACTAAAGGAGAGGCTTGTGCGGTTAGTTTGGACATAGCAAAGGCCTTCGATCGGGACTGGCATAAAGCTCTTCTCTTGAAGTTCCCTTTCTTTGGGCTTCCCGAGAAATTGTGCAATTGGGTCACCAGTTTCCTTGCGGACAGAAGCATTAAGGTCGTTGTCTACGGTGAATGCTCCAACTTGAAATTCGTTAATGCTGGTGCTACCACAAGGCTGTGTTCTATCACCCACACTGTTTCTTCTTCATATCAATGACATGTTGCAAACTAGTAGCATCTATGGCTTTGCAGATGATAGCACGGGAGATGCCCTTTACACCGGCCTCTCCAATATTTTTCGGGAAAACGTCATCGATAGTCGAAACAAACTTGTGTCTAAAATTAAAACTTCCTTAGCGAAGGTTTCAGATTGGGGCCGACTAAATCTAATCCAGTTCAACCCAAAGAAAGACAGGTCTGTGCGTTCACCGCAAAGAAGATACCATTTGTCGTATCACCTATGGTCACTTTCCATCAGGTGACCCGTCTGCTCGTCTGCTCCCTCTAACATAAAAAAAATAAGACCAGGTCCGTAGATGAGGCCTTAGTGCTATTATGTTTGTTGCCTGCGAAAACAAGGTTCTTTGCCAAAGGAGCATAAACACGTAACCAATGTGGCAACACGTTATACTCAAATAAAATAAAAAGATAACTTGTAAATTGTTTTCCATCAAGGGAGTTACATTTAGGATTTTAGCGGAAAGGGACGTGATGTGCCTTGCAGATGCGTAATACGAGTATGCGACAAAATTCAGCTTGATGAATCTTTAAAAGAATTCAGAACATTGCTGGGTAATATAATTCGTCGTTCGGAGTAGTATTATTATTTATCTGAAAGTACCTACCAGCTTAGACCAATATGCAGATAAACAATTGTTGGGAAATAGACGACTGAAACGACGCACGGTTGTATTTCACATAATTACTTAACTACTTTGTACTACATTCATCGAGATAATCGCAAGGCCAGGGTACATTTAACGAGGAACGGGTAAGTTATAGATTCTATCGTCTTGTGAAATATGATATTGATTACATGCCTAGATAAAACAATTTTTAAAGTAATAATAATAATATACCTCCGTCTGATCCCAAACTAGGCAAAGCCTGTACTATGGTAACCAAACTGCTGATAAACATACTTATATATTTAAAAATATATACATATCATAGATGAATTACACCCAGACTCAGAACAAATGATACTGTGAAGTGGTATTTATGGGATTCAAAATGAAACTTACGTCTACATAAGTACGTAACCGTGGGAGAGCAATGGTTTAGCAGAAAAGGCTCGGCTCGATCCGGGATACCACGGCCTCACAGAAAACTAGTATTAAGATTGCCCAACCACTGCACTGCACTTAAAAGCAACAAAAGTATTAACTTTCGTTGCGAGCCCAACCCCCTCTCCCTTACTAATATCCCCCCGGGATTAAAGGGCGGTCAACACACTGGTAACTTTTTTTAAACGTTGAAGAACGTCATTTATACGTGTAGGTACGTTACGACTTTGTATTTAGTTGATGAATATATTACAACGCGTCTAGTTTCTCCTCAGCAAGTAGATATAGGCTAATGACCTTACTGAACTGTCGATAATACGCGTAATTTTATGGTCGAATTAATTGCTTGCGCAACCTCAGTGTTATTGTTTATATTAGTAACCGTCCAAAATACTAAACGATATTATTATGCCTACTTAATTCGTCAGCACAAGCATTCTGTTTTGAAAAAATCGTAGATTAAAAACTGTAGATCAAGGCACACGAATTCCCGCAACGGGGAGATTGCATTGACAAAGTAAATAATGAACAGATAAAACCACATTTGCCTTTGTACCTATAACCTCAAGTTATCAAATGGAAATGGCCTTGGGAGAAGAAATCGGTAAAAGAAACTCTAGGCCGCTCCAAGTCACCAGATAGTTGTAAAAATGATTGTTACATTATGTTATATATTGTATGTATAACATAAAGAGATCATAATAGTTGTTTTCATATAGCTATAATAGCTAATTAACCGATTCATTGCGACATTAATATTTTGAATTATAGCTGTTTCGGCCTTTAAAAAATATCACCGATTTGCGACTACACCGTGATAAATTTTAATGGAGCTGTGCAATATATGTTCCAAATTTAAATTAGGCCATCGGGTAGGTACCACATTCTTTTTTTTTTTAAATCGTCTTACGACAAAGATATCGCGCTAAAAAAACTGTCGAAATGTAAACTTCTTTTTTGTAGTCATCATCATAATTTTTACTATGATGGGGCGAACGAGCAACACCAGGTTGTGCCTTTGTCCCCCTACATCATACACCCGATGGTAAGTGACTACCACCGCTATTGGACATCTGTCAGTCAAGAGATACGAGTGCGTTGCGGCCGCTCTCCCCTGGTACGCACCAGTCGCCTCCGGGTTAGTCATTCGGTAATTTGCTTAGCATCGGTTTTCTGTCTGCCCGAATCAATCAATATATACTTTGCGAGAGATCAACCAAAGATATGGGGAGTAAAATGTCGTTGCATAGGCTAGGCAGTAAAGTATATTAGCTATTCTGTGGCACAGTTAATAAATAGGACGTTTACCTATGTTTAGGATGATCAATTTATAATTAGTCGGTAGGTAGACGCAGTTAGATTATCGATATATGCGTTTAGTTATCTCTTTGTATTGTCAATAATTAACAACTATTAACATCAAAAACAGCTATTAACTTGAAATTAAGAAATAATTGATTTAACGATTTATATGGCTTGACGTGGTCTACAAGGAAGGTATGAAGGATAAATGTAAGGTGCATACCATAATTGGAGTGTCAACAATAGTATTAATTTATTCAAAATAAAGTGCGTGATATTTATTAAATACAACAAAGTAGATTACAATAGTATAAACGGTCTTGTTAAAACACTTCTTGGTACAAGATAATGCTGCATTACATTGTTTTTAAAATAAGCACCATTAGAGCACAATATTTAAATAACAGTCTAGACGAGAATGACTCGATTGTAACGTGTGTTAAACACTATTCGTTGTTACTACTGACTGGAATAGTAGCTCTGTTGTGTACTGTAAGCAGAGAGTTGACCCCGTCCTACAATGACGCCTTCCCAGTCAAAGAACGCGCAGCCGGCCCGGCCCGAACGCAGACCTGTTAACACATCCAAGCTTTACCTTTCTTTCGATGTGCCATCAAAAATGATTACTGTCCTAAGGAGAATTAACGGCGAAAAGGCTATCGGTTGTCCGTGTGGTGACGGATTAAGAATACGGAAAGTCACCACCCCTATTTATCCCGTGCGTGTCGTAAGAGTCGACTAAGAGAGCAAAACTATGCAGGACAATAGCTCTGCAAAGAGAAGGAAATCTTGACACAAACCCTATACCAACCCGTCTGGTCCGCGTGGTATAGTAGGCCAAAACCTCCTTAGTAACGACAGGCCTATATCCAGCAGTGGACTACTAAAGGCTGTTGAACATTATGATGAGGTGATAGGGTATAAAAATATAAAGCCAAATTCCCTTGCACTACTACAAATTGCAATGATTCAAATAAATTTTGGAAAACTGACAAAAAATATTTTGATGATGATAGGGCAGAGTGTCTCAAAAGCCTCGCTCTTCGCTGTTCCATTTATCCTGAGCCTCCGAACACAAGTTTGCGTTAAGCAGCATACTGAGCTGATTTCTGTGTTACTATTTGGTATTGATTGCCCATTGTTGAATACAGAGAAGTGTGGACATCACTTCTATTGTCTGTGAAAATTTTAACCGTAGAGATACATGTCCTAAAACGGAATTAATCGATATCAGCTCTGTAAACATTCGCTCGGTGCCACCTGGTCCGTGGTTACGAGGGCTCTGGCGTCCACGAGTGGCAAAAAGTTCGGTTTGGACTTAAATTACTTATAATCTGGACGAATATGAGCACGAACAATATTTCCTAAACAATATAATTTGATAATTTTGGTGTACAATGGCTGTCCCTGCTCTTGCTGTTTTTACATACAAAAGAAAGAATCGATGTTTTTAAAACATTTGACAGTTTGAAACACATATTTAAATACTTCCTGACATAGTAGTTCCTGACATAGTAGCTAAATGACGTTTGCTAGACTTTGTAAACAAAAGTCTAGCAAACGTCATTTAGCTACGGGTTTGAGTTAACAAACGCTGGTGACGAAACGTTAAGTTACAATATATGATTAACAAAATTATGATTATATATGATTTCATTATGGAACAGTTATTCGTAATTTATAAAGTTCGCGATCACGTTACAGGTATATACCTATCAATTATACCTATTACATACCCCGTATGTTCCCTTTGATTTGCCGCATGTTTAGACCAAGCTACGCTGGTCGTGATCACAGGTCAGCCTGTTACTCACCTACACTAAGTTTACAAGAATACCTTTAAGCAATCTGAAAATTATTGATACGTAAATATTCATCTAGTAATATGATGTACCACACTCATGTCACCTTTCCAACTTGTGTATTTGAAAATAGAATTCAAAAGTACAGAATATAATGCAATGTCGGTAACTACTCTTCTATGGTGTAGATGTATAGACAGTCGTAATATGGAACCAAAGCTACTAAAGGGTGTCTCAGTAAGAAGAATGAAAGAGTTATTTTTATCGGATTTCAAGAAGAAATGTTTCGATTAAGTATAGCATAAAATATCCGGCAAATGGCCCCCACGGCTCTGATGACAGGCCATTACCATGACTTTCACACAGAGATGTGGCGTTATCTCACCGATGACGCGTTGGATCTCTGATTTGAGCTCAGGAATTGTTTCTGGTTTATTCGCATAAACCCAAGATTTCACAAAACCCCAAAGAAAAAATCGCACCATCTTGGTGGCTAGATGATGTCAGAATTTCGTGAGATAATGTGTTCTGGAAATCGTTGCTGCAATAAGTCGATTGTTTCATGCGCGGTGTGGCAGGTGGTTCCGTCCTGCTGAAACCTCATGTTGTCCAGATCCATGTCGTCCAGTTAAGGCCACAAGAACTCCGCTATCATATTCATGTAACGAATGCCATCTTCAAAAAAGTAAGGCCCAATCGCGCCGCCTGACTAAAATCCGCAAAAAACAGTTGCTAGTTGTGGGCGCATTTGTTTCTCAAGGATTGCATGAGGATTTTCTGAGCCCCAAATTCGAAAATTTATGAGTATTCACGTATGCACTTCATCGGAGAAGATGACTTTTTTCGAAAAATTGGCATCGACTTCACTTTGCTCCATTACCTATTGAACGAATTGCCGGCGCTTTTCATGGTCTGCTGGTTCGAGCTCCTGAGTTAGCTAAATCTTATACGCATGAAGGTGGAGGTCTTTTTGGCAGTTTGCGAGCGGTTTCAGCGTAACTTTCTCCGTTTTTGTAATGAGTTTTCACAATTATAACAGCTGTCAAATTTCAGAGTTGCCACTTGCACGAAAAAAAAAATGATTCTAAATTTAAAAAATGCACTCTTACGAGACACCTTTATATAAGTTTCGCCTCGCAATATTTAGGCTCAGGACGAAATTAAGAGGTCAGCAAATGTTCAATGATTGCTGATAATGATATCGTTCTGGTCGAAGTGACGCGACTATGTGAGTGATGTTTTGTTTTACAATTTATCTCGAGTGTTTCAATGTAGGTCGGTTAAGTAATTCAAAACTTTATACTTACTTAGAAAACAACGACTACCTGTTTGCATTTAACTATTATGTCATACATTCATTAAATAAAATTAGTTGTCTTACGAATGTACTATCAAGAGCCAAATGTCTTATCTTACGATGTTCAGTTTTATTACATGACGAAGATTTCTTAAAAACAATCAACCTGAAGGCCAATTCTCGTAATAAAAGTTCGGTCTCAATTCAGTTCCAGTCAACCTTCGACCTAAAAAGGTATTTTCGTAGTAAAAAAGTAAAGTATTACTAAGACTAGCAGATAACCGAATCAATATTCGATCACAATACGATATAATCACATTACAGTCAACGTTGGATGTTTAATATTTTACTACGAAAATACCGTTTATGACTGCAGTTGTGAGATCGAAAGTTGATCGGAACTGAATTGAAACCGAACCTTTATTATGAGATTTGGCTTTCTATTGTGCTCATTTCCCCCCTATATCATAAAGAAACGGATTGATTAGTGGGCAGCGTCCGCGTGTCCGACCTTTTATTTCGGTATAAGTAGGGGAATATGAGAAATTGTATGGTAAAGGGGTTAAACAAGAAGAGGGATCACCTGATGGTAAGTTAATATATTTGTTATGGATACCTGCAAGTCAATAGTCACAAGCGTGATGCCGTCCATTGAGTTCCCTCCAGCATTGTGGGGAGGGTGGGTTTGATCACTCGGTGAAAGGCAACGAAAGAACTGCTGAACACCGGCTCTCTGTAAAGCCGTGGTATCATTCCGGTCGAGCCAACCCATTCGTGCCGAAGCATGCCTCTCTAACGTACAAAACAAATGTCGGACATCAAAATATATTCTAACCATTAAAATCGTGGCATATTAAAAGTATTCTTTTAAAGTTTTCTTCAAAAAAACAGTGTTGATTGCTTGGAGAATTCGTTCTATAATTTGCAAGAGTATTTTCTTACAAAACAATTTGTATGCTTGTTCAATTGGTTCTAATCCGCCATTTCTATTTATAGTGTACTTTACAATTACAACGCCCGATTGTGTAACTGTTGAAATTTTACCTACTACAAAACATCTATATTTGTAACAAAGCTTTTTGCCATAAATGTCTTTGTCTTTGAAAAAGAAGATTAGTCGGAGCCACCTAAGGGCTAGGATGAAACCCTTTATAAAAATGATCTATTATAATCAACTAAGTCCACAATCGGATATCATTTTTCCATGTGATTGTAGACTATTACCTGTTTTAAGAATCGTTGCTATAATAGCGCTCGCTGATTGCTTTACAAATATAAGACCATTTTTAAATTGTACTTGATTTAAATGGCTGTTAAGGAGGAGTATGTCTCCTCATCTTGATAACATTACGAGTATCTTCAGAAGAGTATCTTCACGGCCTCACAGAAAACCGGTGTTAAGCAATTCTTTCGTTGCCTTTCACTGAGTGACTGAGGTTACCGTAGCCGAAATCCTCCGTCCCGCTGAATCGAGCGGGAGGGACTCCAAGAGCAGCAACGCACTTGTGACTTTTGAGTTGCAGGCGTCCATGAACGGCGATAGTTGCTTACCATCAGGTGACTCGTCTGCTCGTTTGCCCCCTTATAACATAAAAAAATAGGTACCTACTATTTTATTTAAGTGAGACCTGGTCTCTTCTAGTTCAAGTACTAAATAATAATATCCACAATACCTTGACAAATCACGTGTGGAAACCCCCCCGGGCCGTCACCCCTCCGGGGTTTCGGGCAGGATGGTGTGTCGAAATCGGACCGACTAAAACCACACGGTGTGCCACTCTGCGCCTGTAATAGGAGGAATCCGGGGACTGCTGTTATTAGGACGTCCGTACCAAGTCAAATATATTAGCTTAGCCTTAACGTTAGCAAAGTTTATAATGAGAGCGATTTGACACAACAGTTATTGCAGTCATCAACTGATAAAACCACGACTGCCAGACGGATACGAGGGGAAGACAATCATGGACTTGTTCAACTTTGTCGTAACCTATTTTATTACGAAGGACTTCTACATAATGAGTGCCTTCGTTTGCTGGCCGCCTGGTAACGACAATACTGTGTTTTAAAACATACCGACCGAAGTAAGGCACGATATTGCGCAACAATTTAGAAGTGCGCAATTGAAGCCTGATTGTGATACCGCATAATATGATCTTGTATTTTTAATATCTGGTATATGTAACCAAAAAGCCATTTTCTTTATAAGTATTGTAGTCGGTGTAACTTTAACTTTAAATTTTCAGAAAGATCCTAACTACTTTTTAAAAGCAAATCAGGTAAATGAGTATGATATAAGAGTACTGCTATAGTTAGAAATGTTTTCAAAATTTTATAAAGTATTAACTCGTAATACAGAAAACTATACAATAACATTATGGTACTGCTTTTTATGCCAACAATCAAAGACGAGTTGATGACGGTACTAGCTGAAAAAACTTATGTAAATTTTTCTTAGTTATATTTTTGTAAGACTGAATGTGGTGATCAGCTGCCGTGACGGTGATCTAAGCTAATGTTTAAAAGTTAATTCAATGTTGAATGTTGAAAAGTTAATAACAATATCAACCTACCCCTGCAAAAAGCAAAGGATCTTCGAACCTAACTTGTGAGACCTTGCACACTACGCCCCAAGGTTGTTTTTTTTTTAAGTCGCTCGATGTCTCTGATTGCACGATGTAGGATCAAAAGTTTTTAACTATTTCATCTTTTTATTGTAGGAATATAGAGTCATTCCAGGATTCAAGTCAGTCTGTGGATGGGTTCCAGGCCGTCGGTCCCGGTTACCATATCAACATATCATATATCTGTTGCAAATTTACAGTTAGTTGGAACTCTAAAAAGTCCAACAACGGTCTATTTACAGAACTTTGATATCGTTCAGTACTTGGGTTTGGGCTCCATGTAAAAATCAAAATTCAGCCGTGTCATAGTAGACTGAAAAGCCGACCCCCATCCTAGTTTGGCAAAAGGGCTCGGAAGATGATCTCATACTATACCCGCAGACGCCTCTTTAATCATCATCTGGATCATCTGGATTTGTTATCTCTTCAATAAAGCATTCATCCAATCAAATGTGTGTGTGTGTGTGTTTGTTTGTTTGGGTGTATGTGTGTGTGTGTTTGTTTGTTTGGGTGTGTGTGTGTGTGTGATGTTATTCAGCAAATATGCCATAAATAAATGTCAATTCACAATACACTTCATTACTAATAAGACACTGCAAGAAACATATTATATTTTCCTTTTTGGCAGACCAAATATTACATTTGTGGCGCAGCGCCCACGACTTTGGCGTAAGACTGACCGTGTACACAGACCTGCAACATCCACCGAACATGCCTCCGTTGGACCGACATCGGGAAGCGATACTCGTGGACTTGGAGTGTCCCCATGTGGAGTTCCTCCTGCATAACGTAAAGTATCTCTTATTATAACACTTTGAGATGAATGTTGATGATGAATCCTGAGATAACCTTTTTCTTAATGATATTAATAAGAACTTGGTGTTTACTGCAGCCCAAATCCCTCCTTCCCCTGATTCCAGGAAATATACTTAACATCAGGTCACCCGTCTGCTTGTTTGCCCCGGTATACCATACAAAAATCAGTTTCAAATAGATATCGATTAGAAAAAAAATACATCACTAGGATAATTGTCACTCCACCATCGCGCGCTTTTTGAACACCTTTTTCCTGCACAACTAAGCTGATGTAGAACAAACCTTTATGGGTTTTATCAAACCTTTTAAAAGTGAGCGTTCTTCCACCTGAAAGGCTAGCAAGGCACCTGTGACTGTGGTGTTGCAGGTGTAAGGTGTATTACAATCAGTAACCCGTATGCTAGTGTGGCCCCTATCAATAAATAACATTGACATTCAGAATATGTAAATCACTTTATTATTAGACATAGACTTTATTATGACTGCACGGATGGCGTAGTGGTTTAAGCGGTCGCCACAACGCTTTCTATTGCTCCGAATGTTGTGGGTTCAAACCCCACATGGGATAACACTTTGTGTGATCCACAAATTGTTGTTTTGAGTCTGGGTGTACTTTGTGTCCGTTTTATGTATGTTTGTAAAGTCCCCCGCAACACAGGATTTATTCCTAGTGCGGGAGTTGTCTTTCTTAAAAGAGAAAAGAGAAAGAGACAATACAAGAAACTTGTGAGCTCTTTATTGCTGTTAAAATTATTGAAATGTATAATAAATTGATACAAGTGTGGTCTAAATTTAATGCAACACAAAATATTTGTGTAATTATAATGTAAAGCAGTTTTAAAGCGACCTTGTTTACTTCGACCTATTTTTATTTTACCCTCTTAGCAATGTGTAGATTAGATTTAATCTTGTAAACACAATTTTGTGTTAAAATAAAAAGGAATCGCAATAATAATAATAACGTCACCCATCTCACAAACGCCTGTACTATGGTAACCAGACTGCAGATAAACATACTTATATATTTCTAAATACATACATTATAGATAAATTACACCCAGACACAGAACAAGTGATTGTGCTCATCACACAAAATATTTGTCCTGGGTGGGAATCGAACCCACGACCTCCGGCTTAGCAGTCAGGGTAACTAACCACTAGACCAACAGGCCCGTCAATACCACAATATCTGTGTGGTGACGAATTAAATACGGAGTGTCACCACCGTTGTTCATCCCGTGGGTGTCGTAAGAGCCGACTAAGGGAATAAATTACGCAGTACAACAAACAGCACTGCCAAGAGAAGGAAACCGTGACACAAATTCTATGCCAACCCGTCAGCGGCCAGCGTGGTATAGTAGACCAAAACCTCCTTTCTAAGAAGAGGCCTATGTTCAGCAGTAGACTAGTCAGGCTGTTGATGATGATGATCAAACAAAATTTTTGCAATCAATAAATGACAATTGCATAATGAATGACCATGAGTTTTATTGTTTCATTCTATCGTCGCTAACTGTACACATTGGCACTAAGTGTAAATGTAATTACTAATATATTTATACGTGTTACTTTGTGACCTAGATAAAGAATAAATAAAAATACATTTAGTTGGTTCCTAACACTGAAATACCGATGACATTTATTCAAGCGTAGAACTCATTGCTCGTTGTTTTAAGCATTGTCTACCTCAAATTGAGGCTGAAAACAATATTTTTTTATCTCAAATGCTTTCTCAATAGGCATCTAGCTCCCGTGCATTCAACTACCGATTCGCGTGGCTTCTCCTCCACAACTCCTCGTACAATAGAAATGTCATAGAAGACACTCTTGAAGACTACCAAATTCTCCCTGACTCCGACGTCGTGTGGTGTTGCCCTGACACTCTGGTTGACGTCTACCGAGTGAAGGCTAAACACTCCTACTTGCTGACTGATCTGGGACTAAACCGAAGCGCTTCCAGGCAAGAATTAGTGGCGTGGTGGAGCGCCCTACCAAAGACGGTGACTAGGAGAAGAGATCTTAGGAAAATAAAACTGGTTGGTGCTTCTGTGGTAAGTTACTTACTAAGTTATAAACACATTAGTACTTTATACTGAGATTGTTCTGTAAATATAATACAGCTGATTTTTCTTAAGCAAAATGGAAGATAAAATGTTTTTTTTTTATGGCAAAGGAGTAATCAAGTAAATTAAAAAACATTGACATAAGTTTCGAATCAACCAGCTTGACTGTAGACGTGACTCCTGTAAAATTCGTAGCAAACTTGCAGAAGAAAATATTTTAATTTACTTTGTAAAAAGCCTTTGTATTTATGTTTTTTCCTGTAGAACTACAGAACTTGAAACGCTCCTTTTATGTTATTGGTGACTTTAGGTCGATTTTACATTGCTTATGTAAAGCAATGTAAAATCGACCTAAAGTCACCAATAACATAAAAGGAGCGTTTCAAGTGCTATTAATTATTATTAATTCGCCGTTTAGAAGCACATAATACAGCACGTTTGTTCCCAAATCAGTACCACTGGCTTGTGGATGTATTTGAATCTTATAAAAAAACCTAAAAGAACATTACATAACTCCAAAGCTTGCCTTTAATAAGCTATTGACCTCCTGCTGTGGGGAGTGAGTGTGCTGCTCATGTAGGTTAGCCGTAGGTGTAACAAGGTGTACTTTCAGATAGGTCAACCCGAGTATTTCCATGGCTGGTCAGACGTGAGCACGCGCCAGATCGATACCTTCCCCAAGCTGACTTACCCGCTCGTGCTGAACCTCGCTGATGACTTAAATTTTTAGTAAGTGACCTTTAATGACAGGATGCTTCATAGAAAAATAAAGGCAATAGAAAGCTCAGCGAAGCAAGTGCTTGGGATAAAGCAATTTTATTTGGCATTTTTTTAATTATTTAGGGGCTAATGGGCACACAGGTCACCTGATGAAAAGTGACTATTGCCGCCTATGAACGTGTGGAACAAGAATGAAGGAGTGACTTGTCTGGAATTTGAGGGTTCACTACAGTGATACATGGCTTTCGGTAGCGTAGGTACTGAGTATAATATGCATCGGTTACTGAATTGCATTGGAAATAAAGCGCACAGTGTTGAAGTGCCAATTATCCAAGTGATGGAGAAGAAAATTTTGCTTCGTTTGTGGCAAACGTTTAACTTAGTGGCCCTAAATATAAAAATACAGGTTTCTGAAATATATAATTTTCAAATTTCAATAAAGAGTTACAAGACAGATAGTTTCCTGATGAAAAGTTTAAGCCTGATCATTATATACGAATGAATTAAGCATGCCGCCACATGTTTTTGCTAAAAATTTTAGCTACCCGACTCGCAAGTAATTTCTACCCTTTAAGGCTGGCGAGACGACAGTCGGAGAGTCTGAACTCCATGGATGAGAGAATAGGTTTAGGGACTAGTGCCCACATACCGGTACGTAATTAAAACATGTACTGCTATACCCATCTGGTAAAACGAGTTTTTCTGACTTAGTTGCAAAAAAAAACTGAGATAAAATATACCGATTTGCTTATTTTTCTCTTTTTCAGCTTAGGGTTTCGTCAGGTCGACTTATATGGAGTACTGCAGCCAAATGGCTCGTTCAATGGGCTTGCGGGTCTGCTTCAGCGGAACGAGGTAGAGGTGGGCAGCGTCTCCATATTCATGAGGCAAGACAGAATGGAAGTGTTACACTTCTTCTCTGAAACACTGGCCCTAACGTATGTATTTGGTTTTGATATTAATGCTCCTAATTCACTTGAAATGTTAGAATTGTAGCGTTGCGTTAAGTCCTAGTCCTTGCTGGATTTGTTCAGAGTCTTACTAAGACACAAAAAATTATCAACTATCTACCTTTTGGCTCCATTATCAAACCAGTATTACCAAACCCAATCCGTAGGACTCGTTGAAATGAATTACTTGTATGAGTACAAACTCGGAGAATATCCTAGTAGCCACTGAAGATTTGCAGGATATAATCAGATCAGATCAGAAACTGTCCGTGTGGTGACGGATTAAGAATACAGGTGTCACCACCCCTATTCATACCATGGGTGTCGTAAGAGCCGGCTAAGGGAAAAAACTGCGCAGAACAACAGCAATGCAGGGAGAAAAACAAAAACTATACAAACCCTATACCAACCCGTCTGGCCAGCGTGGTATAGTAGGCCAAAAGCTCCTTTCTAAGGAGAGGCCTATATCCAACAGTGGAGTATTAAAGGCTGTTGATGATCAGATCAGCTCTAAGATGCTAAATTATAGTATTATCAACGAACTACATAATACACTTACGAAGTTGAATTTCGATACGATACGCGTAAGTAGTTTAAAATATATCTGCATGACTGACTAAGGTTAGGTGTATTATTGTTACTAGTACAAGAAGGAAAGCTTAAAAAAGCATTTAAAAACGGACCTAGCTAGAATGGCTAGTCCTATAGTATGTACTATATTTGCAGTAAATATGTACCGTGGCTGTTTTTTCCACTCTCCTTTTGTCCGCGTTTCGTAAGCCATGTTTCTGTTCTGAGTGTGTTGAAATCAGAATTAAAACTTAAAAGTCTATTTGGCCTATTTCAGCACTGCCTTCATATTCCGCCAGCCATCTCGGTCAGCTATGTCCAATGTGTTTCTGGCGCCGTTTAGCTCGGGTGTGTGGTTATCGTGCGGGTTGGCGGCGATGTCGGCTGCAGTGCTGCTGGTGGTACTGAAGAGAGTGAGGGAAGCGACAGAGGGACGCTCTCGTCAACTGCTCGCGCCGCTGACGCTCCCAGACACTTGCACCTTCGCTCTTGGCTCTTTGTGCCAGCAAGGTAAGTACGTAGTTGTACATGTCGTAAGTACCATTGTACTGCAATAGTATTGCTATAATTAGTAGTTATTGGCAACATTCAAAAACATATTGATTGAACATTCTTGCGGCGGTAGCCTAGTGGTTAAGGCATTGGACTTGCGATCAAGAGGTCGTGGGTTCGAATCCTGACCAGTACACTACCGACGTGAACCCACTCCTAATACAAGCAATTTAGCTTAGCTGGAGGGTTTAACGGGAATACTAGTAACTTCGGTTGCTAGTTCATCATCATCATCATTAACAGCCTTTAATAGTCCACTGCTGGACATAAGCCTCTCCTGAGAAAGGAGGTTTTGGCCTACTGGACCACGCTGGCCAGACGGGTTGGTAAAGAGTTTGTGTCAAGTTTTCCTTCTCTCTGCAGTGCTGTTGGCCTGCTTACTTTTTTCCCTTAGTCGGCTCTTACGACACCCACGGGATGAATAGGGGTGGTGACACTCTGTATTCTTAATCCGTCACCACACGGTTGCTAGTTAGCCTTTTAAAAATAAAAAAAAACTAAAGAGACGTTTCATGACGAATCGTTTCCGAGAATAGTAATAGAACTAAACATTATCGTTCCTAGAGAATAACAATGAGATTATTTATTTGGCACTGAGACCATTTTCTCTTAAATAAATAATGAGCGTATGTTTCTCTAACAAAGTTTGCCCGAGGTTCGTTTCATCTCTGTTAACGATAATATATTAAAGATCTATGATCTTTTATTGCACTAAGTTCAATTGACAGAGTTTTGAATTACATTGATATTCATATATCAAAACACATCATGAATGTAAAAGAATACTAATAAAGTGGTTAAAATCACTTACTTATGAAGAAACTGAAGCATACTTGCAATCTAAATAAACACACACATATACACGCGCGCGCGCACACACATACGCACACACACACACACACACGAACACACACATACATACATACATCAACTACCCATCTCAACATGTACTGGCCCCTTCATAATATTATTAAAATTAAAAAAAAATGTTTTCAAGTAGGTTTGTAACAATTAAATGAAATCAATCGTGTACCAATTATATAACAAGTACGCTATCATATAGGCATTATTTGCTTAAAGGGAAGCTCCAATCACGAATATTTTTATACTCATTTTTGGTAAAATAAAACATTTTGTATTTGTATTTGATATAAAAAAAGCGCCTCATGAAAATCGTAATGCAAAATAATAAACACTGATTCTGTGCAGCACCAAATATTTCCCTTTATATTTTACTAGCTGACCCGCGCAACTTCGTCTGCGTCTCTCAATAGTAATAAATTTTCTCCGTTTTTGAAACATTCTTCATTGGTACTCCGCTCCTATTGGTCTTAGCGTGATGATATATAGCCTATAGCCTTCCTCGATAAATGGGCTATCTAATACTGAAAGAATTTTTCAAATCGGACCAGTAGTTCCTGAGATTAGCGCGTTCAAACAAACAAACAAACAAACAAACAAACAAACTCTTCAGCTTTATAATATTAGTATAGATTTTAATACATTTTACTAATTTAGGTATTTGGGGGTGTGAGATTTTTTGCTTGCCCTATTTGACTGTCTCGGTGGTGCAGTGGTAGCGTAGGCTACTGCTGATTTGAGGTCTCGGGTTCGATAGCCGGGTCGGACCAAATGTTTGAAGATCTTTCAAACATTTGGTCCGACCCGGCTATCGAACCCGAGACCTCAACGCAGCAGTCGCAAACGCTACCACTATGTATGTATTAACAAAGAAAAAGTGTATTAGTATTCTATCAGTCAATTTAGCTTTCATAGTACAAGCTCTGCTTAGTTTGAAACTAGATGGCGTTGTTTGTCAGATGTCCGAAATATTATTATTATTGTTAGTTGTTTTGTATAATAATATATTACTACCCAACCTAATATCGTAATTTGAGCATGATCATTATTAAATATAAAAAGGAGATAGTGGTGCTAATTCTATTCTTCGAAAACTCTCTAAACTAAACTAAAAATCCCTAAAAAAAATTTAGTCCTGCAAAATTCTACGTTTTCATAACGTTATTTGATAGGACGAAACAAATTTTTAGTGATTTTTAGTTTAGCTTAGAGAGTTTTCGAACAATAGAATTAGCACCAGTGTACTTTTATAGTTTGTATCTTTGATATTGTATTCAGAAAAAAGTGACCTCGGCTTATACTTTACTTAACAAGCTCCACAATACCGCGAGATAACGCCAGTATATAGTAATGCGACTTCTAATGGTCACCAGGGTTCTACATAACACCGGCGGTGACGTCAGTGCGCGTGGTGATGTTCAGCACGCTGTTGTCCTCGTTGTTCGTGTTCACGGCGTACTCGGCCAAGATCGTGACGCTGCTGCAGACGCCCAGCGAAGCCCTGCGGAACATTGACGACCTCACCAGGTCGCCGATGACGCTGGGCGTACAGGAAACCACGTATAAGAAAGTGTATTTTCTCGTAAGTCACCATTACGAGTATGTACTTATATACGTATATTTAAAGTTTATTTTTGGAACGAAGTGCCTTATGGCGCGTCACGATCTGATCGGATGGAATCCCTTCACGCCGTTTTTTAATGTTCCTTGTGCTGTTTCTTTGTAAGTATATGTCAAATTTACTTAATTAAATTTAGTTCTATAAACATATTATCCACAGGTCAGGTGGAGTGAAGATTTGCGCAAGATGGCTGGCAGGAGCTGGATGCGAGAAGCCCAAAATCGATCTAAGTGGCGTGCAATGGGAGAGGCCTATGTCCAGCAGTGGTCTGTGATAGGCTGATGATGATGATGATGATAATACATAATAAGTTATTTTTGTAGGTATAATTTTGTCTTGAATCTTAGTTTAAGTCGCACAGCTTACATAGTTGACATGGTGTTTAGAAATTGTCGATATCATTACTTGTTTAACAATTACTGTTCATTGTATTTGTCGTTTGTTCAATGCTCTAGGAAGCGTCAGACGCCTCTACACAGCGGCTGTACCATCGCAAGATCATGCCCCAGGGGGAGCGGGCCTACCTCGATATTGACGAAGGGATCGCACGAGTCAGGACGGGGCTATTCGCTTTTCAGGTACTTGCTACCTATTAGTAGTAGGGCAATCGCTGGAGGAACTAACAAGAATACTCTTAATAGCGGGTAAATACAGGCTAGTGTCGTCAAGGTTCGGGAAATTTCGCCAAGTATCTCGTAATAGCCCGACTGACTAGATGCTTCTCTGGTAATTTCTAGAACGTCGTTCAACTTTCTGAAATATTTAAACTTATTCCAGAACATTGGATTTAAGATTACTTCTTGATTACTAGATACACACATAATACTTGCTTTAATATATTTAGCAGCATTAAACTAATGTTTTAAAGGTAAATCGGTGTACAAGTTTAGTGACACCCTTAATAAATATTATCTAATAATTAGTACCCAAATTTCCTCAATCTCCTCCTCAAATATAAGCTCTCGCCGTGTTCAGGTGGAACGCAGCTCCGGCTATGATGTGATCATGAAGACGTTTACGGAGCACGAGAAATGTTCTTTGGACGAAATCGAGGCCTTCAAGATGCCTATGGTGGCCATCCCCATGATGAGGTTCTCAGGATATCGGGAGCTGTTCGCTGTCAGGTATCCAATCGTCCCTAGAATACGAGTCTTTAATAGCCAATACAGATTGATTGCAGGTCTAATCTTAATAGATGAAAAAATTGAATCAAATTTATTTAGATGAGATTTTGTTAAACCTATGACCGGTGATAGAAAACTGCTACAAACTTTTTTCTTTGTTCTTTTTTTTCTCCTGAGGTTCCGCTAAAAGGTTGTTGATGACCAGATTTTATTATTGATAAATTATTGAGAAAACCTGTTCCCTTTTTAAAAAATCATTGACTGAATGTTAGTAGGCTCAGTAGTGTAAAGAGATTCTCTCTTATAAGCCTGGCAATACAATTTTACTAAATTTTGTAGTTTTAATGGTAATTGGCTAACAAAATTCAATCACCTTAATTAAAAAAAGATTTATTAACATTACACATCTGCGTTTGGATTACAGACAATAAATACTACCTACGTGTATCAACCTATCCAGTATTCGAACCAAAACGATTTGCGCCAATTTACCTATTGCTCATACCTCATGTACTTACATACCACCGTTCAAAAAGCCATAGCTGGTATCAGAGAGAATACTAGTCTAAGCCTTAAATAGGAACAGTATTGAAGAATGATTTCCAACACTTATTGTTAGATAGTCGTGTGTTATGACAGAATGCGCTGGCAGCGCGAGGCGGGCTTGATGAATCGTGAAAGGCGCGTGTGGCTTGCGGCGCGCCCGCGCTGTGAGTCCGCATCTGGCGGATTCGTCAGCATCGGTTTCATCGACGTGCTGCCAGCTTTGGAGGTTATTAAATTTCATCATTTTAATTTTGCAGCGTAGAATATCACTTATTTGAGAATGATAAGATGATAAGAGTGCGAATTAGCGACTGGTTCGCTTGTAAATAATAGCAGTATGTTTCTTTGATATATTAATTTCTCAAAAGTGCCTGTAAATGAAACAAGATTAACTGTGGGCAGGTGTTGGCAGTGGGTGCGCTGTTGTCGGTAGTGCTGCTGGGAGCCGAGCTGAGCGTCCACACGCTTAAGAAAAAGGCTACCAAATTGCACAGTCGTCAAGCAGATAAAAACTGCTTAAACCACTAGTTCAACAGAAATAAAAAGTGTCAGGTAATTATAATAACACTGAGCGCCCCTTCTGTTGCATACAATACTCTAAGTATATTTGACCATATTTAAAATAATGTATAGATAATTATTTTTTGACAACTCCTCATTCTCAATTATAGGGACTAATCCCACCCACACGCCCACCATTGTAACTCTGTAACCCACGAACACACCGAGTTATGACACTCGGGAAGTCCCAGGAAGAAATTAAACTGTCTTGGAACCCGCAACGAAATTAATCAGAAGAAAATTGGAGGAGTTGAAAATACAGTAAATAAATCTCAATTAGACAGAGCTTGGACTATGGCAACTTCAATATTGATCCAACTTATACATCACTAAATACATATCTACAAACTATAAATGAATTACACCCAAACACATAAATGGCGATGATGACGGTTTGTCTCACAATGATTAGTTTTGAGTGGAAATCGAATCACTAAACACTGGACTAGCAACCCCAGAGCTTTTTATTGTCCAAATAGTTTTTCTACTATCTACAAGTGTGTCGACAGAATTAAAAAACAGCTAAGCAAGCACAACCAAAAGTGCGCGGTTATTGAGTGCGTACATACATAAATAACAGGGATTTTGTTTTTTTTTTCAGAGCATCGACAAGACAGTTATCTAGTTTCGTTACAGACACAGGTTCCACGCACCACAAAAAACGGCTATGGCCTTGTCCAAGGCCCTTTAAGATTTTGTTTGTTTGCTGTGAGTATCGATGTAATAAACCCGAACGAGCACGTTTAACATTACTCGCATAACGCATCTGACAGCTCACCTACAATTTGAAGGCCAACTCTAGAGCCGTTTATTGGTTCCCCGTCATCCGTTACACATTATTGGCCCTTTTGACGAAATCACTCCCTCGGTTTGAGCGAATGCCAGATGCAATGTTAAACAAAATACTTTCACGAAATCAGCAAACCATATCTTATTAGTAACATGTAGGTATGCTTCGATTTGTTATTGTAATTAAGATTATAAAAAATTTGAAAGTAAGTTCGTTTTTTCTTTGTTCCATTTTCTCGTTTCAACTAGTTAACCGCTAATCATCGGCATAGGGTACCTTTCGTCCAGAAAAAAGATGAATCCTAAAGATTTCAAAATAACTTTTTGAGAGTAAAGCGGCGAGCAAAAACTAAATAACAACACCTTAGGCGACCTGGATAAAAAAGTTAAAAAGTGGTCTACTACCCACAGCCTGGCTTGATTATAAGACCATTAGTGGCGCATTTACCGTAGACCCTTTTGTTGTGGTGATGCCATGGCCTCTACTGAGTGACTGAGGTCACTGGAGACCAAAAGCTTCCCTCCTTCCTGATTCTGGGCCCTAATTCTGGCTTCCCCCTTGTAGTTTATAGTATGCGGATAAAGTAGTTTATTCAATTATCTTTATAAAAGTTTATTTTAAATATAACAATAACAACTTACGAGTAAGTGAAGTTTAACCGTGTGGTGACGGATTCAGAATACCAACCCGTCTGGCCGACCTTCAAGCCACCATTCACCACTAAGTATAACAACTCTGTGTGCAAGTGTTTAGAAACCATATTTCACATACCACTTAGTTGTTGGTAACATTGTGGCGACTTCCACATACAATGAAACAAAAACATTCTAAAGTGCCATCTAACGATAACACGCCAAACTACGGAGTAAATGCTTATCCTGTATCGCGCTATTAAAGTTCTCGGGCCGATTAGTATTTATTATCTACATCTTCCCAACATCAGACTTTAGACCGAGGTCCGTCAGGCATGATCATTTCGCCTGGTCGGATGATTCTCACTTTGTGCTAGGCTGTGATGTGGGACAGTGACACACCATCTATGTACCTACTGGAAGTTTTGTATGCCAATTAAAGCAACTATAATACTTATATCAAAATATACTTATGTTTTCAATAAATAGTTTCTATATAACGCATTCATTTCCAGGCCAGGGTAGACCAAGCTTATGATGTTTTCTAAGCCCGTGTTCTCTGTGGAGGAACGGGTGTCATGTCCCTCCAACACAAAGGGAGGATCCTCCGACCAGGCGAGGTGATCATGCCTGGCGGGCCGCGGCACAACGGTTGATGTTAGGAAGTTGTATACATATATGCTAATTGGCGAGGGAATTCTTTATATCGCGATACAGGATTAGCAATTCTTATTTTAGTAGTTACTCCGTAGTTCGGTGTGTCTTCATTAGATGGCGCTGTAGTATGTTTCTGTTTCTTTGTATGTGGGAGTCGCCACATTCTCTTTAGAAGCTGTATTGAAATTTCAGATTGATTTGCGTCTACGTTATTCAAGGCGCTAACATGACACGTACCAAAATTATTAAAATTATTAGAGTCCTTTCGTGACCACGTCAATCAAAAAGTATTGTAACTAGTAAATATTATTATTTTAACTACAAAATTATGTGTATAAGCCGTATGTCAGATACGAGATAATACAGTTTTATTAGTAGCTGATAGGCTGTTAAGTGTTACACACACGCACCATGTAGATACTTACGGAGGTTTTGTGTTTCAAAGAAAGCACCCACAATTTTAGTATGTAGGTGTAGTATTACATAACCACCGGTGGGTGGTACCCGAGGGGATTTCCGCACAGAGAAAAAAAAGGTGTAGTATTGCTTGGTGAACCTCATCCCTCCTACTCATAAAGTAAGGTATTTGTCCTATTTATTGGCTTAAATACTAACTATATTGTTAGAGTATGCCAGTAAGTATAGACTAATTTAGTAGATGCAATAATGCCACAACATTATCTGAGTTAGGTGGAAATACTCTCCGTGATACGACGAAATTTATTATCCATAATAGTCATAACGTAAAAAAATAATAGTTTAAAAAAACTAAAAAAAACATTTTTTTTCTGTTGTCAGTAGTAAAAAGCACCCCATGCTTTTTTTCAAATGTATTAAAATTTATGTTCTATTTTTTAGTTTGGTATTCTATAAAAAGTGTTTTTTGGTTTTTAAAAACTATTTTTTTTTACGTTATGACTATTATGGATAACAAATTACGTCGTATCACGGAGGCTGGTTTTTAAAAACGATTATTTTTGTTATTTTTTTTTTAAATTAGTGTATTGTCATCTACAAAGTTTGAACGAATTCTGACCGTTTAAAGTCAGTCAAAATTACGCCCAAAGGAGTCAGTTCAAACAAACATACAAGTGAAGCTAATATAAAGCGTGTAAAAACATAAAACCCCTCTTTTATGCGCAGCCGAATACACCAGAATAGGTAGATACGCGTCAGTTGATGATTTGACGGTACAGGGCAAATCAATTTTTAACATATGGAAAATGATCGGTTGCATGCAGAATTTTTTACCTCATTGATTCGGGCGAACACAGGCTACAGAGAGCGTGCACCGCGGAGCCAGTCCAGTTTGACCACTGCCAGTACAACCTGCTCGAAACGTCAGGCAATTCCAAGGTATACAGAATACCTAGTTATAGACTATAGAGATGACGATGAAGTAACACAATGAGCCTTAAGGTTTAACAAATATTTTAAAGGCGAAGTTTGTATATATGTTTGTTACTCTTTGACGCAAAAGCGGCTGAACGGATCTGAACTACAGAGATAGATTATAGTCTGGAATATCACATAGGTTTTTACCCTGAAAATGATGTTCCCGTGATGAACGAAAACGTTCCCGTGGGATGCAAGGTACAACAACAACCGCGGGCAACACCGAGGGGCGCAGCTGGTTTAACAAATAAAATAGCATACATACCAACATTATTATAAAATGTGACAATAGAATACGTGTAACACAAATACGATGTAAGCGGATTGTCCTTGCGAGGGCGGATACCCGTCTCAGATAGTGCGCCTACGCAGCGCGCGCTTCAACCAAGCACCAGGAGCACAACATTTTCACTTGGATTAAATAAAAGTTAAAGAAATAATTAAATTAAAAAAAAGATATTTATATTTCTCATATTCTTAGGGTGATATTATAGTAAGATTTTGTTGTAATTTACGGAGACGAAATCATCTTAGCGTTGATCGCGTCGTCAAGAAAATTTAAACACTCTTGAAACCGTTGGGTTTTAAAAATCCATACTTCCTTCCGCCTACTACTTTGTACCGCGATATAAAAGAAAAAAGCCGCCGTAAGAAAACGCTCCTTTTTGATAAAACGTTAGTGTATTTCTAATATTTCTGAGACAAGCGTAAATAGATCGCCACACCTGTGTAGGAACAGGTGTTAATTTTAACATTAGTCCTTCGTGAATGAAAATACCAATAATAGTAGCTACTGGCACGATTTATGTTTATTAAATGTATACATGTATACGTGTATTTAAATACTTATGTATTAAGTCTATTAGTATCATCATTACTTATTGTATTTCATATCATTACTAATTATTCTAATGTAATTTTTACACGTTCTCTGAGTATATGATATTCTAAATAAGCTATATTTTTAAAAATTACTACTACTGGCACTTTAAGTGATACACATGCGTAAGTATAAAGAGAAAATGACATAATTAGACAGAAAGGATAAGGGCATCCAACGGTTTAGGACTTCTGCCTAACAGCAGTTGCTCGTTGCACCCTCTAGAGCACCACCATTCGCAACCATGGCGTCCCACCCAGCAGTTTTGTTGACCGTTTTACTGTTCTGCACATACGGTAATTACCTTATATTTTATTGTTTTTTTAATATTAAATTAGCAAGTGCAGAGTAGTTTAAAAGATCCTGGCAAGTACACAAAATTTTATATGGAATGGTTTTTATAATCTTCTTTCAATGGCTCGTAACAGACTGTAACTATGTTTTCTTTGTTGAGAACTCAGATGGAAATGATAGATAGAGATTATACTCGTAGAACCACGTTAGGTTCTTTGTATTTTAAGAGTGTGGCGGAATTTATATTTTACCACATTCTGATTTGCTTTATTTTTAAACGTTCAGCAGTATTTCGGGTGTAGCTACATTGACGTGTACATAAACTTGTTTTTACTAAACAATACTTCATTCCCTTTAAATTATTTTCAACTCAGCCAAATCGTTTAACTATAAATACAATTTCCAGGTGTGAAGGTGTCGTGGAGCCAGTACCACAATTCAACAGCGCTGTCCATCCAAATAGACACGTTGTTTGCGGAGTACGACAGAGAAGTGCCTCCACCGAGTTCAGGTGCCCTCGAAGTTCACGTAACACTGAACGTCAATCATGCCAACATCGATCAAGAACAGTCTGTGATGAGGCTGCTGGCTGATTTACATTTGGTACGTCTCATAATCTCGTATCTTACTCCATTCCTGAATTCAAATGAATATTATTTAACGGTCATGAGGTTAAAATGACGGGCTAAATTATACTCTAAGTTACTCAATCTGAATAGTATTTAGTATTTACTGCCCCTAGTCTTTACTGTTTTAAAGACAGGATGGAGTCAATTTCTTCCCAGTATTTGTGTACAGTAGGAGCATAGGAAAGCCTCCTCACAAAGTGGTCCGACGACCTAGTGCAGGTTGCGGAAAGCCGTTGAATGCGGGCAGCACAGGGCGGTTGTTGAGGCGAACTTTAGGAGAGGTCTATGTCCAGCCTTGGACGTCTTTCGGCTAAAATGATGAACCGTGTACTGTTAATTACTTAACAGAGGAACGATCATCATCATCAACAGGCTTTAATAGTCCACTGCTGGACATAGGCCTCCCCTTAGAAAGGAGGTTTTGGCCTACTATACCACGCTGGCGGGTTGGTATAGGGTTTGTTTCAAGTTTTCCTTCTCTCTGCAGTGTTGTTGTCCTGCGTAGTTTTCTCCCTTAGTCGCCTCTTACGACACCAACGGGATGAATAGGGGCGGTGACACTCTGTATTCTTAATCCGTCACCACACGGTTCTACGGAGGAACGATATCCAGTTGATAATACACATGATATAGCTGGACAAGTACTTTTTTGTCAAATAGGATTTATAGGACTTCCTTTAGATCAAAATATGATCGGTGTTACTTTGTTGTATATTTACTTGTATGAACTACGAGTTTATGCTTGAGTTTGTTATCAATTGTGCTAATAATAGCGAGCCCGTTTTACAATTCCGCGCATGTCGTTGTATCTTCCAATCGCTAACGGAAGGCTAAGATTTTTATTCCTTTCCGAATAAAAATTAAATCTGATAAGAATGTTTTCTTTGTAAAAGAGGCTAATTTCATTCTCGAGTGGACCGTTTCTCGACTGTTTTGATGCCTAACCTGTTGTTGCAGCGGTTAGTGATCCTGATGGCTAAGCCAGGTTCGATGCCTACCCAGGACACATAATTGTGTAATCAGCACGATCTGTCTCTGAGAGTAATTTATCAAAATTACGTATATAGAAATTTATAAGTTTGTTTATCTATCTGTTTACAATAGTACAGGCGTAGTTTTCAGAATGATATAACTAAAAGGTTATATTAATGTTTCTTTTCAGGTATGGGTAGACAAACGCCTCCGGTGGAATCAAACGGAATGGGGTTGTGATTACGCTATTACAGCGGCAGAACGTCTCTGGCTCCCAGACATCGTACTGATGAACGCAGCGGCCACCGGCGTGTCCACCGCTCCTAGTGACGTCGGCCTGAGAGCTCGCCTTAATTATGATGGAGCGATAACCTGGGCTATGAGGCTGGACCTCACAGCGCCCCTGGAGTTACAATTGTACGACTGGCCCGAAGACACACAGTCGTGTATTTTCAGGTTTGCGCCAAGGTCGTACAGCTCGGATCAAATTGAGCTCAAAGTTATTGAGGCGCAGGTGAGACTTATTATAACCACAGGCAGCAGTCTCTACGTGTCAACATTAGTTAGAAGTAATTATAATTTAGAAAATGTGACGCCTACATCCCTGAACATTATTTCAGTACGAAATTATGGATGCTGAAGATGGAAATTTTGAGAGTATTTTTTATACTCTCTTGTAATATTACATATTGGCCAACATTGCCAGCACTCAAATACTAAGATACATACAATATTGAATCTCTAACGATAAGAGTAAGAGTCTTTTTTTGGTACCTATGAAAATCTCAAAGGATTGCACTCACAGATATCGACTTTTCTCTGACAATGACTGACTATCCATATAACATGTGAATCCTGACAATCATAATTCTAATGAGTTATTATAAATTTTGCTAACCCTAACTAACTTAATGTGTAGAGCGCGGTTGTATTCGAAAGTGGCACCTGGGAGATCCAGACGATAAACGGCGATACATTAAAATGGGATCGCGGTGAGGAGGAGACCAGTGTGGCGCTGTGGATGATCGCAGTGAAGCGCCGTGCGCCCGCGCACGCCCTTGCAGCCAACACTGTGTTGATCGCCTCTGCACTAGTCCTCGCTGCAGCGATATCGCTGCCTCCTGATCAACGACATGCGCTAGCAGCCTGCGCGTCATTCATCGCGACTCTGTGGTTAGTACCTTTAGCGACAGACTGTTGAAGCCTTATATATAGAACTAACATTAGACCTTGTGGCACTTAAAATAGCACAGGTTTTGCTAGGCTTTTTTTTTTTTTTAATTGGGACTAATCCCACCCACACGCCCACCACTGTAACTCCTGTACACCAGGATCCACAGCAGTGACCCACGAACACACCGAGTTATGACACTCGGGAAGTCCCAGGAAGAAATTAAACTGTCTTGGAACCCGCAACGAAATTAATCAGAAGAAAATTGCAGGAGTTGGAAATACAGTAAATCCACTTCCCTCCTTAGCAAAGCGGGAGACAAAATGAAGTAAAATGGGCATACACCCTTTTAAACAGGGAAGCACCACGGCCACAAATATTACGGGTCCTACGTGAGCTATGTTTGATTTCTATAATATGTATGGCAGAATCACCTAAACGCACGGAAATTCACCCTAGTTGACACAAGATCCCCATAGTATACCGTCCCAGATGTCACCTGCACGCTATTCAGCATTGCTAGGCTGTCGATACATTCTAAATATACAGAATATACTACGATAATATGTGAATAATGCATCCATACCATCATGCCGGCAGTAGCGATATCCCGAGACATGGTTACATCACGTGCCTTTTACCAGGTCACGTTAAGGCTTTTCTATATTCTGGATCCTTTTATCATATTTTTTTTTTTATTTCTCTTTTCTAAAGAGAAATAAAAAGGCCTATGTCCAGCAGTGGACTATTAAAGGCTGTTGTTGATGATGATGATGATTTTTTTAAGACAGCTTACAAAACACACTATAATGAGTTTACAGACATGTGTTTGTATGTTTACAATTGTGTGCTGAGTGTTGTTTTACTTACAAGTTGCTACGGCATGGTAAGAGACAGTTTCTCTAAGAAATATTTATTTATTTTTATCAAACTCATATAAAGCAAACCTCAACTATAATATACAAAACATACAGAACATGAACGAGATTACAGGACATAGTGACGCATTTATTCTTAAGGTACAGAAGGATTAAACAGTACAGAAAGGTTTTCGTACAATGGTCATAAAATTAAGTACAGAAATACACCTGTGCTTGTTTGACAGTAAGCTGCCGTAGCAGTTCTAATGAATTATTGGCCACCAGAAATGCAACGCCTTGTTAGAGTTAGCTCTTCGGGTTTTTTAGTCACGGTACATTATGTACATAGGTATGTAAGTAATTACGTATTTAGCTATGTAGGTGTATATGGTCCCAGTGTAAGTGTGGTGTATATCTTGAGGGAATATGGGTGTCGGCACTGGTTCGCAGGATGATCACGGCGCTGCTCCGTCTGCCCGGGGCGCACACGTGTCCCCGCGTGTTGTCCCTGATGTGCGCCATGTGCATATGTGGTGCACTCTGCAGCGCGTGCGCAGCGTTCGTGAGGCGCGTGGCGAACTGCCCCGTGCCACCGCCGCGCCTGCTGCGGGGCCTGCTCTCCAGCCTCTCCACTATCTGCAGGCTTACGCCTTCACCCGTCAGTATACATTATTTATCTTATTCTGACCAATTGTACAAACTATTTACGTCTCCAAGGTAAATGGACACGAAATATAAAGTTAATAACATACATAAAATATTTTTCAAAAGTAGGTAGGATTAACGCGTAACGCGTATCGCCAGGAACGATAGTGAGGTGATTAAGGGGCAATGGGGCGGAATGTTGGGCATCAATTCTGCCAGAAAAAATAAAACATTTTTATCATATTATCCCATGTTGTGGAACTTATCCGTACTAATATTATAAATGCGAAAATGTGTCGGTCTGTCTGTTACTTCTTCACGTTTAAACCGCTGAACTGATTTAGATGAAATTTGGTATAGAGATAGTCCGAGTCCTGGGAAAGGACATAGAGTAGTTTGTATTCCATAAATCTTCCTTTAAGAGGGTGAAAAGGAGGTGGAAGTTTGTGTGGGGAATCAATAACCGCTAAACTGATTTAAATGAAATTTGGTATGGAGATACTTTAATTGTTGAGGAAAAACATACACTACTTTATTCACGCGGGAGGAGCCGCCGGCAAATGCTAGTCTTATTTAAAAATATGCTTCGTTCCTGTGCATGTAGGAAGCGCTGTGTACTTTATAACAGATTTTTTTAAGATATAATTGTTACGATATGGTACGTCCAGGAAGCCTGTACATCATCAGAGAGCGGTGCGTGGGCGGCGGCGAGTGTGCTGGCGGACCGCACGCTGTGCGGCGCGTTGCTGCTGACGCTGCTGGTGCTGCTCGCCGTGCAGCTGCTCTAAGGTCTACAGCACCAACAACAACAGACCTCCCTCGTGTCTCGTGTTATGAATACTTTGTGCTGTCTTGTAAATATTCATCAAATAAATTACATTAACTAATATAGTCTAAGTATAATATTTATTTTTATTTTCAAGTTTTGACAAATGTTTATTGACTGTGGACTTATTCGAAATTATACCCTTGATTGCGGCTTTAAGCTTATTATAATACCGTAGTGTTTGATAATTTTGTGACAAATACGAGGATAATCACCCTACTGGTGGCGAGCAGTACGGCGGTAGAAAAGTGATATCCATGAGGCTATCCGTACAATTATGTTTCCTCATTCGTAAGCCTGCGTCTGCTGCAGTACTATTGGGACCGTTCGCGATGACAGCGCCACGTGACAGGTGGCCATTATGGACAATATTGTCACAGCTGTCAAGCGATGGAAGTCAGTAACATTATTACCAATAACATTAAAATTGTTGTTTTCAGTGATTGCTGTCTGTACCGTTTACTTTAAAACTGGGCGTTGATTGTCAGTTTTTTGACGTCCATCCAAAATTTGATCGTGAGTGTCGAATCATCACTTCAGATTTATAACTGACGACGCGCCACGAAATATTCTATTACTATAATAATAATAATATTCTACCACATTCTACCGCTTACAATTACGCCGAGTGTTGTGGGTCAGATCCCCACATAGGACGACACTTTGTGTGATCCACAAATTGGTGTTCTGAGTCTGGGTGTTCTTTGTGTCCGTTCCATGTATGTTTGTAAAGTCCCCCGCGACACAGGATATATTCCTAATGCGGAAGTTGTCTTTTCAAAAAAAAAAAACTCACAACGCCATCTAGTCCCAGGCTAAGCAGAGCTTGTACTATGGGTACTAGACAACTGATATAAATACATATATACTTTTTTATGTAAATATATACCTGTTATACATACATTACTGAACTGGTGATCATAATCAAACTCGGCGTGACGCGCCATACTGTCCATGAGTGTGTGATCGTCTTCATAACCGCGTTAGTTCTTAGCTCGCAGCACCCGCGATGATTGAGCGTGCAGTGTATAGTTTTTTGCTTTTAAAATGGCGGCCTCGGTGTCCTCTTGACGTGTCATAATAACAGAATTTGTTGTTTTTTTTTTTAAATTCAATATGTTTGTGATAAGTATGTTTTTAAGCTATTCTTTCATTAATTGCTTTCTTTCTTGTTTTTTGGTGAGTATACGGCAACAGACAATAGCCGCAGTAAAAATTAATATATTTTTCGTAATCAGAATCCATTTTTTTACCTCGACACAAATAAATAGTACACGTTCTGTAAACAGCCCGGCTCGTCGAAAACTGTAGAACCGGAGTGACGACAGTGAGATGGGAAATCTAGTTGGCATAATACCATTTCGAGTGACGCCATAGTTTTAGGTCTAGACTGAGTTCTGAGTGAAAAATGACCGTCAATGCCCTGACTCTGCGAGGACGCTTGTTCTGTAATTTATTTTCATGGTAAGAACAAATTACCATAGGAGACCCTTCCTTGAGACAGGACGTCTGTTAGTCCACATACACAGATAAGAGGCAAAGGTTTCTCTTTAAACTAAGAAGAATACAAAGAAAATTATTTAAGAAAATACTTAAAATAAATAAAAATATATTTAAATAATTTAGTACGTCGAATGAAGATAGGAACTGGGTGGGCTACAAGCTGAGCCCTGAACGAACAGGTTCGTGAAATTGACTAGGCAGTACATTACTACGGAGCCCAGCAAAGACCCTAGCTGGGTCACCGCTCCGCAGGCGCGCATCCCCTTGGCGCCCCCTTTCCTCGCCCACCCGTACACCCACATACGTGTGTAAGATATCACGCCAGTGACCAGGATCCAGCACAGCACCTGCAAGACATTGGTTGAGTTACAAACTAATCCAAATTAACTGGCTAGAAGGCACTGTTAATGACCAGAATTTAGTTGCATTTACTCCCGAGTATAATCACAGTATTAACATTAGCCAGCAGGAAGCTGATCAGTTCTGTATTGGGAGGTATAGGTATATGAGCAGACGGGTCGTAGACGGACCTGTTGGTCTAGTGGTTAGTGACCCTGACTGCTAAGCCGGAGGTCGTGGGTTCGATTCACACCCAGGACAAATAATTGTGTGGTGAGCACCATGACTTGTTGTGTCTGGGTGTAATTTATCTATAGTATGTATGTATTTATTAATATATAAGTATATTTGCACGGATGGCGTAGTGGTTTAAGCGGTCGCCACGCTGCTTCCTACTACGCTGTTTGTTGTGGGTTTGATCCCCACATGGGACGACACTTTGTGTGATCCACAAATTGTTGTTCTAAATCTGGGTGTTCTTTGTGTCAGTTTTATGTATGTTTGTAAAGTCCCCCGCAACCAAGGATACGTTCCCAATGCGGGAGTTTACTTTATTCATCTTAAAACACAAAACAGCAGTCTGGTTACCATAGTACAGGCTCTGACTAGTTTGGAATCAGACAGCCGTACGTGCGTCGTGAAAATATTATTTTTCTCTTTATTTATTTTATATACATCATCATCATCATCATCATCATCAACAGCCTTTAATAGTCCACTGCTGGACATAGGCCTCTCCTTAGAAAGGAGGTTTTGGCCTACTATACCACGATGGCCAGACGGGTTGGTATAGGGTTTGGTCAGGATGCGCCTCGCCCAGACGGGAGCTCGAGTTCTCGAGTTCCCTGGGGCTGAAGGCGCAAAGACGGCGGACTCCTTCGCTGAGAAGCTGCGGGGAATATTTGCAGCCACAGATGGTGTCAGGGTCGCCAGGCCTACCAAGTGCGCGGAACTGCGCATCTCGGGCCTGGACGACTCAGCGACGGCCAAAGATGTCCGCGCTGTAATCCGGGAGAAGACGGGGTGCAGCGCGGACAACGTCAGGGTCGGCACCATCCGCCCCGGTCCAGGAGGGCTTGGCGCCGTGTGGGTCAGCTGTCCCGTAGCGTCGGCCAAAGTATTGGCCGACGCCGGCAGGCTGCTCATCGGTTTCGTGAGCGCCAGGATCACAGTCCTGGCGGCGAGACCGATGAGATGCTACAAATGCCTAGCATCGGGACACACGCGCGTCAAGTGCGACAGATGTTTTGACTGCGGCGGACTGTGTTTCCGCTGCGGTCAACCGGGGCATAAGGCGGCAGAATGCTCTGCCGCCCCTCACTGCCCAGTGTGTGCGGCGGGCAATAAGCCCGCCAATCACCAGATGGGGCAGAGAGGCTGCAAGCCTCCCCGCAGTTCTCGGCAGACGTCGGGGGTTAGCCAGTCGACCCAGGCTGCCTCCGATATAGTTCGTGCGTCGACGTCGTCGCCCATGGAGGAGGTTGTAGAGACGATCCAGTAATGGATCAAGTCTCCAACCTCCTGGTCCAGACGAACCTGAACCACTGTGCCGCGGCGCAGGATCTCTTCCTGCAAACCATGGCACAGTGGTCGATAGGTGTTGCCGTAGTCGCGGAGCCCTATTCTGTCCCTCCCCGTCCAAACTGGATGGGTGACTGGGACGGCTCCGTGGCAGTTGTCGGTTCCACGACGGCTCATTCCCCACCCTTGTCGCTAAGAGACAAGGGCACTGGATATGTTGCCGTCGAGTGGGGGGGGATCACCATATATGGTGTCTATTTCTCCCCCAACCGGAGTTTGAACGACTTCGAGGTTTTCCTAACCAGCTTGGAGACCTCGATACGGCGACTAGCGTCTGGGCACGTCCTTGTGCTGGGGGACTTCAACGCAAAGTCCATTGCGTGGGGTTCCCCCAGGACGGACGCCAGGGGCGAGGCCGTAGAGGAGTGGGCGGCCTCGGTGGGCCTCTGTCTTCTAAACAGAGGCTCCACCAACACGTGCGTGCGACAGCAGGGGGGGTCGATAGTGGACCTCTCGTTCGCTACCCCTGCCCTCGCCGCACGAGTAAGGAACTGGCGTGTCCTGGAAGAGGTTGAGACGCTCTCGGATCACCTGTATATCCGATTTGAGCTCTCCCGGACCCAGGACTCCAGTAGGGGTCACGTGGCGCGGCGTTTATCCCGCTTTCCGCGGTGGGCTGTTGCCAGGCTGAACCGGGACCTACTAGAGGAGGCAGCCATAATTCACTCGTGGCTGTCTCCTCAGGCTCCGACCGAGGAGGTCGACGTGGGGGCTGGCCGCTTTCGCGATGCGATTACGCATGTATGCGATGCGGCCATGCCCCGCGTTCGAGGTCGTCGGCCTCTAAGGAAGGAGGTCTACTGGTGGTCCCAGGAGCTGGCGGACCTCCGTGCGGCCTGTACACGTGCCCGGAGGTCCTACACACGCAGTCGGCGGCGCCACCGTGGAGACGGTGAGGAGGACCGGCTTCATGAGGAGTACCGGCGGGCGCGGAAAACTCTGAAGCTGGCCATTAGCCGCGCCAAAGAGGAAAAGAGACAGGAGATGCTGGAGGGTCTTAATCGTGACCCCTGGGGTCGCCCTTACCGCGCGGTGCGACAAAAGCTCCGCGCGTCGGGCCCCCCCCCCTTACGGAGACTCTCCAGCCCAGCTTCCTGCGAGAAGTGGTTGAGGGCCTTTTCCCACAACGAGCGGAACACACTCCCCCGTCGATGGCCTCCCTGGCCGGAGACGACGGGGAGCACGGGGAGGACAATGTTCCGCCCGTCCGGGATTCGGAGGTAGGGGCGGCTGTTCTACGGATCCGTTCCAAGAACACCGCCCCTGGGCCAGACGGGGTACTGGCCCGAGTGCTAGCCCTGGCCCTCAACCACATGGCAGACCGCCTCGGGGAGGTGTTCGACGCTAGCTTGGCGTCGGGACGCTTCCCTGAGTGCTGGAAAAGCGGGAAGCTGGTCCTATTGAGGAAGCCGGGACGGCCAGCCGATTCGGTCGCGGCCTATAGGCCCATCGTGCTGCTGGACGAGGCGGGCAAATTGTTTGAGAGGGTTCTTTCTGCCCGCATCGTCCGGCACCTCTGCGAGGTGGGCCCCGATCTGTCGGACGCCCAATTTGGTTTTCGGGCGGGGCGTTCGACAGTCGACGCCGTGTTGCGCCTGAGGGCCGTGACCGAAGAGGCCGTGAGCTGTGGCGGCGTGCTGTTGGCGGTGTCATTAGACATCGCCAACGCATTCAATAGTCTGCCATTCAGCTGCATCAGGGAAGCACTCCACTATCATGGGGTGCCAAAGTACCTGAGGCGGCTAGTGGCAGACTATTTAGAGGAGCGTACCGTCGTGTACGAGGACCGAGAAGGTAATTTGAGGTGTCGGCCCATGTCCACAGGGGTCTGTCTCCCTGGTGGTCGGGCGCATTGAGGCGCTGGGCTTACGGGTGGCCCTAGATAAGACGGAGGCCCTGTTATTCCATGGGCCCCGTCGTGGTCCACCCCCTGGCGCCTCAATCGTGGTCAACTCGGTCCTCGTACCGGTTCGGGCCCAGATGAAATATCTGGGCCTGATCCTCGACGGGAGGTGGCTCTTCGACGAGCACTTCCGACAGCTTGCTCCAAAGCTGGTCGGCGCTGCGTCTGCCCTAGGGCGACTCTTGCCCAATGTGGGTGGACCCAGCGTCGCGACAAGACGGCTGTACACGGGGGTTGTCCGGTCAATGGCGCTGTACGGTGCACCGGTGTGGGCGGCGGCTCTGACCGCCCAGAATAGGGTACGCCTCTGGCGCCCTCAGAGGGTAATGGCGGTCAGAGCCATACGCGGTTACCGCACCGTTTCTACGGAGGTGGCATGCGCGTTGGCCGGAACTCCCCCGTGGGACTTGGAGGCGGAAGTGCTCGCCGAAGTTTATCGGCGAGTGGCTGACTTCCGGGCGGAGAGCGGACTTCGCCCTCCGCCCGAGGATGTGCGCGAGTGGCGCGAAGCCGCTCGCCGAGCCACGATGGCTCGTTGGTCGCTCCGGCTGGAGACTCCACGCGCTGGCTTCGCCGCCGTGGAGGCTCTCCAGCCGGTCATCGCCGAGTGGGCAGGGCGGCAGCACGGGACCCTTTCCTTCCGGCTGACGCAGGTGCTTTCCGGGCACGGTTGCTTCGGGAAGTACCTGCACTCGGTCGCTAGGAGGGAACTGAGTCCCGCCTGCCACCACTGCGACTGCAGTGAGGACTCGGCCCAGCACACGCTGGCGGTCTGCCCCGCATGGGCGGCGCAGCGCCGGGCCCTCACTGCAGTCATCGGAGTGGATCTCTCGCTACCGGCCGTAGTACGCTCCATGGCCGGTAGCGACAGTTGTTTTACCGCGGTCGCAACCTTCTGCGAGGTAGTAATCTCGCGGAAGGAGGCGGCGGAGAGGGCCCGGGAGGACGACCTCCACTCGGACCCGATCCGCCGCCGGCGAACCGGGCGGCGGAGGCCCGGCTATCACAGCCTCATGCCGCCCTGAGTGTGGCCGCGGGTGGACGGGGTGGGTTTCCCCTCCACCCGCATTAGTTGGCCAGCCGCGAGGGGGCGGCGTCCGCGTGTGCCGGACGTCGCCTAAAGAGAGGAACATCCACATTGAGACGGAGCCCGCACCAGGAGCGGGCTGGCGCTAGGAGGGGTCCGGATGTCTTAACAGCAGCTGTTCCCGGATCCCTCCTGTTACAGGCGCAGAGTGGCACACCGTGTGGTTTTAATCGGTCCGAGTCCGACACACCACCCCGCCGCAAACCCCGGAGGGGTGACGGTCCGAGGGGATTTCCACACGTTAAAAAAAAAAAAAAAAAAAAAAAAAAAGGGTTTGGTATTCATTTTGACACTAGGTTTTCCCAAGGCGCTTTAAGGTGATCAAGGTCCAAGGTCGCTTTCATTAGTGTTAGCATTTATTAGAGAAGCAACAGAACATTAAATTCTTTACAACTATTGCCTCACTTTTTAAATAGTTTACCGTTTTTGAGATGGACTGCGAAAAGATGTAAAAAAAATGATTTTGACACAACCTATGCCAATTCGTCATGCCAGCGTGCTATAGTAGCCAGTATATCAAAAGCTCCTTTCGAAGGAGAGTCCTAGGTCCAACAGCAACCCCCTGGGATAGGGTCTGATTAGGCATGGTGTCAATTCGGGGAGGACCTGAAATAACATGGTCCGAGTCCTCCCCAGAGTAGGACACCTGAGGCCGGCCGTCGGGGTGGTTTTTAGTGAAATCACCACATACGATTTACGATCCGAAGGGATTTTCCACCCCGTCACCAAAAAAAAAGAAAAAAAAAAGTCCAACAGCAACAACACTGTTTAACTTACTCCTAATTGCGGTGTTCAATGAATATTTGTTTTGGACTTTGTACATGATTGCTGATTACGTCGGCCTTTATACTCAGATTAAACTTTAGCAGGTTGTGGGTGCCATCATTGATGATAGATCCTACTATGAAATACGTTATCGCAAACATAACCATTTGCATATACTATATAAAAAAATCGGTTGTCTGTAAAGTCGGTTTACTGACGATAGTTGAACGTGACAACGTCATAAGAAAATACTGATGGAATGGTTGCATTTTACGAAAACATGTAAATGTATTATTGTATACTGTCCACGCGGACGCATCGCTCACTCAAGTAGGAGAGAGACAGATGTCAAACGCTGCCGAAGGCCGATTGTGCCTCTTTGTCGCTTGTTCCGCGCTCTCGCTTGCACTTCAAGCCTTAAATGGAACGCCTCAGAGCGAGGTAACGCCGCATGAGTCATGTTTTTTCGTGCGTGCAGCCGGCTACATCGAATTATAAGACGTTGTCACGTCAAAAACATTATCGCTCCATCGTTTGCATATTGAGTGCAAAAGAGAAACCAATGTGGTTGAAACATCAAATTACTTACGTATTTAGGTATGGGTTGTGGGCTTCGGTTTCCGCATTTAGACTCAAGAGTGGTCCTTTATGTGTCGAGGACTGGTTAACTAGGTGAGCCAACCAAGCTCCTTCCAGAAGCGCAGAAGCTTCCTGGGGCGTACACAGACTTCTAGGAGCGATTTTGTATCGACGTATTTAGGTAGGATTCAACTAAATCCCATGATCCAAGTACAAAATCACAACAGCGATAATGCTTTAAACATTATATTGCTTTATGTCGTAATTGCCGATATCTAAACACTTAATATTAAGACTGGTTTATAATTATCTAAAGTGTGGTCAGTACTGTCTAATGTAAACCACGATATAACATACATTAAAAGATATGTTATAATGACAACCGTGGACAAAGTGAAGAACCTGACTGATTGTTTAACAAGTTGGCGAGTCATCTCCGAGCACGTTGGTAGAAAAGAACTGATAGGAAGGGAAAGACGATATATTTGTTATGCTTGTTTTACTTACAATTAATACTTCTCCACCAGCGCTGTCAAACAGTGGTGGGAAGGGACTGAGGAGCGCTGTGGCCAAAATAAAGCACAGCGGTGCAATGGTGATGGAGAGCATTGCTGCGAGAGCTGGCAAGGGCATGGGCCGCAGCCATATGCCGGCCATGCATGCGGTCGGGTTAGCCATGGCACCCAGAGTCGTGGCCAAGTGGTGAGCACGCGTACCGTAGGGCCTCGACGAGTATGACTGCACTGACGGCATCACGCCGTTGATGAGCGCATTCAACACCATCATCAGACCCAACACACCGAACCAACTTGTTGCTAGAATCGTCTTTTCTTCTGGAACCTTCTCTTCAGTCTTGTCTTCTGCCACCAAATCTACTCTCTGGTTGTTAAACCCTCCATAGTTATTAATAATGATGAAACTGATCAAGCTGATCGCAGACAACAGTCCAAGAAGTAATAAAAACACCATAGTATCAAACCGGGGTGACGGGAAATGCGCCTCTATGGTTGAATTATCTGCTGAAGGTGTACATTCCGGTTCTCCACCCACGCCTTGGATTAGCGCCAGTATACTTGGAATGAAGCCACTGAGCCCCTCCCCCACTAAGTACGTCGCGAGGTATATATCAAGAAAGTGTCTTAAGTATGGATAGAACAGCACTGAGCTGGTGCAGCCCACCAGCGCCGCGAAAAACGTCAACGCTAAGAACGCGGCCGAGCGCTCAGAGCCACCGATCACATTTATCGTATCGTACAGGAATGCGTTAAGAACCAAAGCGAGTGTTCCTATCGCGAGGAGACCGTATATGTACACCCCTTCGGATATTCTGGGCAGTAACCTGCTAAGAATGGCGTATACAATGATGCCGACGTTTGCTAGCTGTATCACCAACACCATGGACGAGGCGAGTGCCCAGCCCTCGGGTAAGCGGTCCACGAGTAATGGGAGCTGCACGAAAAGGCCGCTGACTCCGAGCCACGTGCCGATCCCCCAGCCGACCATTAGCGCGTCCAACAACACGCGCCGCATTTTGCATGTGTTTGTGACACTGTGACACAGTAGCTCAGGACTGTGTCTACTGACCGTACACTCACAACTAAACGTTTTTAAATATAAAACTGAATCATAATAATGAAACTAAATAATACAAACAAACGACACGTACGTAGTTTTAATGCAGTCTTTATCGTCTGATAATTCAAACTAAATGATAAGATGTCGTTATGTCATATTCGCAATCTTGGACGTGACGTGATTGATACTATACGTTATTTTTGCTTATAGAAAATTCGAAAGTGTTAACGATACAAAATTATACACTTACGAATACATAAGTTTATTTGAAACCGAAGTGAGTTGTGGAGAAGCGGTTTGTTTGTCCCTCTGACTCAAGCAAAGGATCCTTCAACTAGACTAGGCGATCATACCTGGTACACCGTAGTCCAACTATTTATTATAAGGACTGTTAGTAAAAAAATCGATATCTTCTATACAAATAAATAAAATTGGAGTGTCTGTTTGTAATATTAAAATAACCGTTTACACAGTACATATGCCAAAATAATTTTTTTTACAATTTTTGTCGGTCTGTCTGTCTGTTTGTGCCGGGTAATCTCTGGAACGGCTGGACCGATTTCGACGGGACTTTCACTGGCAGATAGTTGATGACATAAGGAGTAACTTAGGCTACTTTTTTAGACTAGCTTCGACTTAAATATCAGTATTTATTACTACTAGGTTTTGCGTTTATATCGGTTATCGCCTAGTAATTTACGTTACTCGCTGATTATGTAGTTTTTCATTGATGAAAGAATGTTTTAAATCGGTTTAGTGATTTTGGCGTGAAAGCGTAACAAACAAACACTCACTTTCACATTTATAAGCATTTTAAAGTATTAGTATTTTTAATATAAGTATGGATATTTTAGGACGATTATCGGTTGCGGTATTTCCGGACCGATACGACCTTCAAACCTTTAAGAAAAGAGCGTACTCCTCCCTAAAAGGCTGGCAACGCGCTTGTTGACTCCTGAGTTGCAGGCGTTAATGGGCGGCGGTAGTCGCTTTCCATCAGGTGAGCCGTCTGCTCGTTTGCCCCCTATTCCATAAAAAAACAAATCGATATTGACATATAGATATTGACGATCGATATTTTAAGAAGGTATGTTTTTATTTATCATTCCTTCTCGTAACATTTTTCCTCGAAGTTTCAAACTCCGAAATTGATATATTTAAATATATCAATAAAATGATGTGTTAAATAATACTTATTATCAGTCCTGTTTATGATCGGTAGTTAAACAGCATAAGAAGGTTTACTACGTGATACAGGAGTTGTAGTTACCACGTAGTTCCGCTTGCTTTCGCTAGATGGCGCTGAGTGTAGCCACAACAAATGTAACCAAATTCTATTGTATCCCGTCCCCTATGTTACCAGGGCCCTGTTTTATGAAGCTGACACATCGACATATATGTCAAAAAGTGACAAAATTGTCGAATTGTCGCGATTAGGGTGTTTAAATAAAGTGACAAATATGTCAAAATTCGACAGGCATATTCTTGACATATTTGTCATTTAAAAATCGTTTACTAAAACACGACATATGTCAAAAAGCACAGTCAAATTATTACTGACGATGGTTGGTGACAATTGACGGATTGTTGTGACAATTATGTCGACTTTTGACATGTTTGCAAATAAATATGTTTTCTGTAGCTAAATGAGGGTAAAATAGAAAACATAGGAAAATTGACAAAAATGTCAGATTGTCGCGACAATCCGACATATTTGTCAATTTTCCACCATGACAATTTTATCGCCTGTAAGTTTGATAAAACAGAAAAATTGTCGAATTGTCACTTTTTGACATATGTCGGACTTGTCGGATTGTCAGCTTCATAAAACAGGGCCCTGGGCCCTGTTTTATGAAGCTGACATTTTTCTGTTTTATGAAACTTTTTGAGCGACAGGTGACAGGTGACAATTTGTCGTGAAAAACTTGTCAAATCTGCTTTATAAAACAGAAAATTGTCATGACATATTGACATATTTGTAGAATTGTCCGACAATTCTGACAGGAACGTTACCCTCTGTCGCTAAATCATATTCTGAATTTTGAAGGTGTAAGAAAGTGTTTTAAAATCGAACCCGAGACCTCAGCACAGTAGTCGCATACGCTATCACTGCGCTACCGAGGCACTCATAGAATATTTTTGATACATACCTACACAATATAATACATATCTAATTGATAACTCCTTTATTTAAAGTTGGGTAACGGTCTAAACAAATTACGAATTGATGACGTATAAACTAGTTAAAATATACTAAACCTTACCATGGTCCTTTTGCGCCAATTTTGCCATGTAGTGTCGCGAAGGTATTTCCAGTCTTTGTTGAAAATACCTAATGCTGTTATTTGTTCGACTATTTCCTTCCATTTTTTTATTTTTGTATCGTGGGTCAATTCGTCACTAAACTTCCCAAAGAGTATATATATTCCTACTTTCGAAAATAAGGCCCAAAATGGTAATTTTTTTGTGCATTTCCATTTTACACGAAATTTTAAAACAAACAATCGAAGCTACACTAGTGATTGATTCATTCTTTTACTCTGTTAATATGTTTTCTATTTTACCCTCATTTAGCTACAGAAAACATATTTATTTGCAAACATGTCAAAAGTCGACATAATTGTCACAACAATCCGTCAATTGTCACCAACCATCGTCAGTAATAATTTGACTGTGCTTTTTGACATATGTCGTGTTTTAGTAAACGATTTTTAAATGACAAATATGTCAAGAATATGCCTGTCGAATTTTGACATATTTGTCACTTATTTTAAACACCCTAATCGCGACAATTCGACAATTTTGTCACTTTTTGACATATATGTCGATGTGTCAGCTTCATAAAACAGGGCCCAGGCCATGATTGTAGGACACCTTAAAACACTTAATTTTATAATAAATATGACAAAAAGAAAAGCGTAATTTTAGGTAGGTAACTATTTTAATTATAAAATATTTTACAAGAGATAAAGAGTTAGTTTAGAAAGTCACAATGTGCCGCAAACTTTTCATTTGATTTTAGTTGAAACCGTATGACGAATTATTTACAGAATTGAACATTAAATTGAACGAAAATTTAATTCTAGTTTTCAAAATATCAATTGTATTTACGTATTTTTAACACAATAAATTTTTGACAGTTGGCAGTACTTCTCTCAAATCTTCCTTCTTAGTTAATCTGTTATTCTGCTGCAGAGGTAGAAAATAGGTGGACAGCAAAGGAATAGATTCGGACTTTGTAGTTAAACCATTGTAAAGATTAATTATATATTACCTCGCTGACACAATTTGTAAACATTATCGTTCGAATAAGCTGTAAACAGTACCTACGCCATTTTGTTATATACAACTCAGACACTTAAAGTTGTTTATAATATAACAATGGCCATGGTTTAGTAGCAAATAGACTTTTACACATATTTAGAAGACTTATATATAAAACTATAAAGTTGAACAAACTTATCAAAAGAACAAAAAAAAACACTAAATCTTAAAACATCAATAATAACAATACAAATAGCGTATAACCTTGAAACACTATTTTTAATACATAATTGTAAAGATTGTCTTACAATTCAGGGAACGTTCAGACCAACATTTTTGAATAGTTTATGTAGATTTCGCTCATTATTTTCTAAATACAAACTAAAATAATATAAAAATGTAATTCAATAACAAACAATCAATATGAATCCAAAGCGTGTTCATAACTACAAATACACGGTACGTATATTGAAGAGACTCATAAGTAGGAATTGCAATATGTTTGCAATTCTTAAATTTTTATTTAAAACGAATTTAAGAATGATTTGAAAATGGCAGTATGCAATTTATCGTCTTGAGATGGGCAGGTTGATGAGGAGAGGTGTAACTACGCACTTTTCTTGAAGGTTTGGAGGTCGTATCGGTTCGGAAATACCGTTTGCTACAATTCCTTTTATAGATTGGTTGTGCGAGACAAAGAGTGCATAGCTAGTGGTGGAGTGACGCGGACGCATATTTTGACGAGTGGAAAGAGAAAGAGAATTAAGGAGTGACTTGTCTGGAGGTTAAGGGTTCACTACAGTACACATATGAAAATTTAAGGACATTTTAATATTGCTTTCGGTAGGTACTGAGTACAATATGCATCGGTTATTGAATTGCATTGGTTGATGTCCCTGGCCTCAAAAGCCCCCAACAACAAGACGGACATTCTGAATGTGGTGAGCGTGCGTGCGAGACCTCTTCGGTTTTTTTTATGGTACAGGGAGCAAACAAGCAGACACCTGATGGTAAGTGTCAACCGCCGCCTATGGAGATTTGCAACTCAAGTCACAAGTGCGTTGCCACTCGCCCTTGCGATATTAACCCTGGTAGTATCAAAAAAATGAAAAATCTTGAATTTATTATCACTATAATCATCATCATCAAATCACCATCATAAACAGCCTTTAGTAGTCCACTGCTGCACACAGGCCTCACCTTAGAAAGAAAGTCTAAGCCTATTGCACCACGCTGGCCAGACGGGTTGGTATAGGATTTGTTTCAAGTTTTCCTTCTCTTTGCAGTGCTGTTGTCCTGCGTAGTTTGTTCCCTTAGTCGGCTCTTACACGGGATGAACAGAGGTGGTGACTCTCTGTATTCTTAATCCGTCACCACACGGACAGTATATAGGACTATAATATAATACTAAAATATTATTTGCTACAAACAAAAGGTGATGACGAGAACCTTGTACAAAAAATTGGTAACTTTGAACCACTTGGCACAATATATTATATACATCTACCTCAATGAGGGGGTAATGCATCCTCCTGAATGAGGAAATCAACAGGAGGAACAACAAAGCAACATTGGTCAATTATAAGGTAAGTAATATTTACAAATTTATTTTTCTAAATTTCACTGCGTAAATGTTACAGGTATATTATGAGATTACTGCTGGCGTTTAATGGTAAAGGATGCTTCGCAACATAAAACGTGAATTTAAGTATTTCTATTTTTTATGTTTAATACTTATATACGTTTTACAATATTTTTGATTATATTTACTTTGACGTTTACAAATTTTTTTACAAATAACAGCGGCCTAGAATTTTTCTTCCCCAGAAACAAGAGTATACTTTTTAATAGGATTTTGGTGCGCTGAATCCAAATCTTACTAAACTATTAACTATAAGCCTTTAAACTAAGCAAACCCTGTTCACTGCTATGTCAGCGAAAACAAAAGATATTTGAGCAAACTCAACGTCATTTGAAAGCTAAAGAATTGAACTTTAAGATTCCCTGTGTACTTTTTTAGGCATAATCGACTGCACGGATGGCGTAGTGGTTTAAGCGGTCGCCACGCCGCTTCCTACTGCGCCGAGTGTTGTGGGTTCAAACCCCACATGGAACGACACTTTGTGTGATCCACAAATTGTTGTTCTGAGTCTGGGTGTTCTTTGTGTCCGTTTCGTATATGTTTGTAAAGTCCCCCGTGACACAGGAATGTATTCCTACTGCGGGAGTTGTCTTTTTTACGAGGACGAGGAATAATAAAATTTTAAGGGTTATATAAACTCAAAAATGGCGTTTTTATAAAAACTTTTAGATTAGAATATCTCAAAAACCTGACATGATAGAGGAAATTTGTATTCAGCGCACCAATATCCTTTGGGAAGGTATACTCTAGTTTCTGGGTAAGAAACTTTGTCAAAGGTTGTTGGTAAAAACAATACGTGACAGAAAAAAAGGACTTACAAGTTTTCTTATCGGGTGATATGTGTACATGAAAAAAAGAAAAACTTGGACAAAAATACGAGAATAATAGTTAGATAGCTACATACTGAACTATTTTTTTTTAATTTGTAACGAAGTCTGTTATTTTTCTTGATAAGTTGTTAAATTACGTAAGTGAATAGTTATCAAATCACGTAAAATCGTTTGGGAAATTAAATATGCAATCTGTGTTATCTGTACTTCTCATCCGATAATAATAATAAGGCCACATTATCTGGACTTGTTCTGAAATAAACTTATTATTAAAATCTACGTCAAACTTGACAAGATACACATTAAACTGTCTCCATCTACTGACTTGCTTATACAGAAGTCTAGATTAGTATTAATAATAATATATTTTTACTAGCTGACCCGGCAAACGTTGTATTCCAAACCAAAAAACATTAGGGATGGGTCACCCTTACCATTTAGGGGTATGAAAAATAGATGTTGACCGATTCTCAGACCTACCCGATGTGCACACAAAATTTCATGAGAATCGGTCAAGCCGTTTCGGAGGAGTACGGGAACGAACATTGTGACACGAGAATTTTATATATAAGATTTATCTCCACAAATAACACAAGTCTTAATATCTGAGTTGGCAAATGTTTGCCTTAATTGGTAATTTGTAGGAGATCTGGAGTCTAAACTAAGCCTTGGCCTGTATTTTAAGCTCCAGGCCCCTCAATAATTGAAGTTACATTAATGTTGTTTGTGTTTAAGCGTGGATATGGAGATGGAGATTAAAGCCACGATATATAACTCACTACAAACTCAAGACTACAAACATAAAAGAGGTAATTATGGATATTTACATACTTTTAAATATGGTTGTACATGCTAACTGTGGTCGACCATTTAAATAATCGGTCACATCCAATGCCCTAACTAGAGGGGTGTCAGCGGTGCCCAGGCACAGGGCGTGGACCCTGGGTGAGACCAGAATTAACCAAAACAGCGTAGAATAGATATGTAGACGCATCATACTATTTTCGAAAGAATCTATTTTTGATGAGGCGCAATTACAGAAGCTTGCACCGGGAGCGTTAAACGCTGGTTAGGGCACTGGTCACATCCTCACCTGGTGTGGCTAGATACATAACCAGCGTTTGAATAAGTAAGCAGCTGTTCATTTCATAAAGTGATGAAGTCGAGTTCAGTAGGTCGTTCAGGCACTAAAATTATTATTTGTACAATGCAGTGGTATTCCTATTAGGTATACTATTTATGATTTATATGTATTTAATTTTAATAAACTACTAAAAAATAATCGAGACTACACCGCTTCACCGTGTTTTTATGAAATTTTGAACAGTTCGGAAATATCTTAATTACATACTTGACTACAAGTTTTAATGTTATTTTTATAGTTTTAAAACATAACAAACATTTTAATATTTAATATTTGTATACATAGGAACTTATAAAAAGCCCTCCCGACGTACCATAATGAAACAAATATATATTTACAACTAATTTATGTAATAACAATAGTTTACACTAGCTTTAATTAGCTTAAACACTACAAAAACTAACTACAAATTATTTATTATTTACAGTTTCTTTAGACTGAGTTTTAAAGTGATTTAATACGCGTAAACGTTTCTATACAACTCTACGCTAAGTCTGAAGATTCTAACTCTATTTTTTGTCTATAGTAGAACATCAACTAAGTAGGGCGTTATCCCGCCGCCTTATATTTTACAATAACTTAAGGACTTTTACCATTCGCATTGGTTTTCACTACCCCACTTGTGAGAGTCGTAGCGTAATATTAGTAACTCTACAACCTGCCTTGAGAATTGGGTTATCAAATGCAAAAAGAACAATAATCATAATATTCTACCACATTCACACAACGCCATCTAGTCCCAAACTAAGCAGAGCTTGTAAAATGGATACTAGGCAACTGATATAAATACATACATATTTTTTTGTATAAACATACTTATTATACATAGAAACACCTAGACCAAATCAAACATTAAATGTAACTTCTGTGGCGTTAATAATTTAATTGCTTTTACTTCTGTGACGTTAAATGGTCGTTAGGTAAAATAAAATGTTTTGTGATGTCAAACGGTTTGATGTAACTTAGAGTATTACAGAGATATTTCTTACAAAAGTCACATATCGTAACGTGACGTAAAAAAAAATCTCTTTTCGGAAAACTCTTTGTGAAAATAGACATAAAACTTTTAAGGTATGAATTTAGTTAATCAAATGTAAAATTAATAAAAATTATGGGTAGGTACTTATTTGTTTTGTCGGTCCATGAGTGTTTTAGAAAGTTGTAGTCAAATTTTAGAAGTGTTATGTGTACAAGACGGATAGCCTATTTAAGTAAACAGTTTTCGATTTTTTTCTTTTTACTCTACTACTATTCCTATTCATCCCATGGGCGTCGCAAGAGCCGATAAGGGAGCAAACTACGAAAGACACCTGCACTGCCAAAAGAATGAAAGTCTGTACACAATGTGTAGTATTTTAAGCAGTCGCTACGCCGCTACTACGCCGAGTGTTGTGGGTTCAAACCCCACATGGGACGACACTTTGTGTGATCCACAAATTGTTGTTCCGAGTCTGGATGTTCTTTGTGTCCGTTTCATGTATGTTTGTAAAGTCCCCCGCGACACAGGATATATTCCTAATGCGGGAGATGTCTTCTAAAAAAATTAAGTGCTTTACGCGACCTTAAAATATGACCACAACTTTCTGTACGCCCTGTGCAATAAACCTGATATGTATTTAAATCTAGGTTATAACAGAAGATTCAGTATATTCACAGATTTCACTTCTTAAATGTTCCTACTTAATTTACTTCCACAACTTTCTTATATTCAGACATAAACTTGTTTTGAGGTAGCTAAAGATAATCACACAATGTATTGAAATAATTCAGTGTGTGGTTGGCGGCGGTGGTGGTTGCTGCGTGTGTTGCGTGGGAGGCAGGTAGTGCCAGTAGGGGGGGGTGTCGGCCGCCTGGGCCTGGCACGCGGCCGTCAGCCCCGCCCAGCTGAACCGGTAGGCGTACCGCTTGCCGTGTACCTGTCGATAATAGATTATATATTTATAGCTGACTAGCTTACGCGTTCGGCTCCACTCGTGGTAGATCGATTGTCCTGTATCGGGGTAAAAGGTACCCTACATACGGTTCGGTATCCAGGACTATATTTATGCCAAATTACAACAAATGTATACAAACAAACAAACTCACGTATTTTTAATATGTTAGTAAGGATGTTTAGAATTCTACAGGATGTTGAACATACAAAAATGGGGTAGGTAGGGTCGTCTGCTACCTACTTAGCATTAAAGATTTGACCTAGGCCCCAAGTTTTTTTTTATTTGAATGTTTCTTTAAATTTTCAGATTTTCGTCACTTTCATACCTTGAAACCCCCATAACTTTTTAATGACAGAGCTGGATTATTATTATTTTATTAGAATCCTAAAGGATGGCAGGATCTTTTAGGAATAATAAAATTTGTGACAGTTTATTGCTACAAACAAAGGTATGAACCCTCAAACGAAAAAAATAGTTTTAAAAACTTTAAAGATCCACTTCGCGTTACATTAAAAAAAAAAGGGGGGATTGGAGACTTTTGTTTTTTTTTACTTTTCCAGAGCTTTCTAACGAGGAAAAAGATATCGAAGCAAAGTAGATTCTATTTGCTTTGATATCTTTTTAGTAGGCAGAGTTATTCGTTGTTTTTTGCTTAGAAGGGCCATTATAAGGAAAGATAAATGTTTTATGAAATCTATCAATGATCTACAGCTGATAATAATGAAAGGATCAATTCAAATCTCTTATTCTTTAATTAAAAACATTAGCCACATAAATAAATATATTTTTTTATATTAAATTTAAAAAAAACATTGCAAGAAATCATTTTTTTTTAATACTTCCTGCAAATGCATTGCATAAGGCGGACTTAATCCCAAAAAAACATTTTCTTCCAGTCGACCTTTGGGTGATGCAGAACTGTGTGTGGCAGGTGTATAATTGAAGCTAATTTATTTTTTTATAATATTTACACTATTAGTTAGCAAATTGTATTAAGGTGAACACTCATAGATTTAGAATATATTTTGTAATACCAGCTACTGTTCACAATGTCATCGATAAAATTCTTCACGAACTCGCTACCTGCCGTAGAGGTGAAAGATCTGCTACGAACGCGTTACGGTGGAGAGTTTAAGCTATAGCTCGAAATTTGCTACGAAACTGCTACGTCTAACGATAATCACAAAGTGGTTAAAATTCGATTTTAATTAATCGGTCAGAAGAACTTGAAATGGCACTATAAAGTTTTGTCAAAATATATGTACGGAGCTTTTTTACATAGTTTTTAACTTTCTATCACATATTGTCGACACCCTCGGGATGAATAGGGGTGGTGACACTCTGTATTCTTAATCCGTCACCACACAGTATACACACACATAAACATACAGTATTACAAAATATATAATATGCTAAGTAAAAAGTAAGTACGCTATTTTTGTTTAAAAATGCTACAAAAACTTTTCTTCGCGTGTTAAAACATAGATAAACAAGAACTTAAAAATAAAACCCATGGAAAGAGTTATATCTACGCTATGTTGTAACAAGTATATTGCGTCCGATCTGCACCAAGCGCAAATATCGACTGACAATAATTACTAACTAATGTATTGTCTATGGTGATATCTAGCCAACAATAACTGATATTACGTTAGTTGATTAGTCAAGCCAATTAAATGGGTGGGTTTTATAGAAATTTGAATTAAATTGCCCTGTTATGGACGAAGATTAAATACCTGATTAACTATTAAAAAAGAGACATTAACTTCGATTCGCCTTCATTCTAATGTAGGTCAATCGAAGTTGGTGACACTTGGAAAAATAACAAGGGTGAAAAATTTAAAGAACACAGTAGACCCTTTGGGGATATTGAGAGAGGCATAGAAAAGTATTAGATAATTTTATAAAATATTATGTAATTAAAATTATATAATTATGTGTTAAATTAGTTTAATATCAATTGTAGCAAATCATTCTTTTTTTGTTTTTAGTTCTATCACATTCACATAACGCCATCTAGTCCCAAACTAAGCAGAGCTTGTACTATTGGTACTAGACAACTGATATAAATACATTTTTTTTTTGTTGTTATTACATACATAGAAACACCCCACTTGAGCGGAAATCGAACCCGCGACTTTTGGAATAGCAAACCACTACCACTACAATCGCATTGGCTTCCCTGTAAGGATTGTGTGGGATGGGCTTGTGATAAACAAATAAATAAATAAATTAAACACTGGTATTTTGTCAAAAATAATTTTAGTGCCATTATTAGTCCCTACGTCATTTCATGATAATAATCGATTGAAGAAACGAACTAAAAAAAATTATAATGAAGAAATGTAATGTTTTTTGAAGCTTATGTATTGGTGATGATAAGGAACTGAATCCCAGTTGATAATATCTCACCTTACTCATGATATTCTTGTCGTAGTAGTATCGCAGCGCCCTGGAGAGCTTGTCGTAGTTCATGTTGGGTTTCTGCTTGCGCCGGCCCCACCGCCGCGCCACCTCGTCAGGGTCCGACAGACGGAACTCGCCATCGCCGGGGGGACCCTACCATCATTTAACATTATTATCTTACAATAATGATAATTCTAAAAAGAAGTAGCTTAGTAAGGGAAAAATATTAAAATAGGTTTAATTTTTTGAGAGAGAAATAGACACAAACACTGTAAAGCTCCAATATTACTTGTTTAATATAATACGGTAAATTTCATCATCATCAATCATCAACAGCTTATAACAGTCCACTGCGGGACATAGGCCTCTCCTTAGAAAGGAGGTTTTGGCCTACTATACCACGCTGGCCAGACGGGTTGATATAGGGTTTGTTTCGGTTTTCCTTCTCTTTGCAGTGCTGTTGTCCTGCGTAGTTTGCTCCATTAGTCGGCTCTTACGACACCCAAGGGATGAATAGGGGTAGTGACATTCCGTATTCTTAATCCGTCACCACACGGACAGTAAATTTATTTCTGACGAACTATTTTAATTTTGAAGATTTTATCACCTTCAAAGTGCCTGACCGATCTGTTTTCAATTAACACGCAAGAGTTTTACAAATATTAAACTATTTTCGATAAACACGCCTCTTTTGATTTTATGATAGATTGCTACCCACTATTTAATCCATATTAATTATATTTTTCATTATACCTATAAAGAAGAATCTATACTAATATTATAAAGCTGAAGAGTTTGTTTGTTAGTTTGTTTGTTTATTATCTCTGGAACTACTGGTCCGATTTGAAAAATTCTTTCAGTGTTAGATAGCCCATTTATCGAGGAAGGCTATAGGCTATATATCATCACGCTAAGACCAATAGGAGCGGCGCACCAATGATGAATGTTTCAAAAACGGAGAAATTTTATTACTATTGAGAGACGCAGACGATGTTGCGCGGGTCAGCTAGTATAATATATATATATATAATAAGACAAACATGAATTCTTCAAATGATTAATTTATATTTTTGACCTATTTTCTGTGTTCTAATCGGATTTTATACAGCTCATTTTAAATACAGCTTACATTTACCCTGCTACGTTATGTTATTGCAAACTGACGGGAAAAATAGATAAAAACAATCTTTGAAGTGGTATCGCGTCAAAATTTGAACTCAATCGGTGCAGAACTTTTGAGTTTGTGAAGCACAGACATAGAAAATTAACATTTATATATAAATATAGAGCGAGATAGATAGAAGATTATATTAAATTTCGTATGTTATAGTTTACTACGATAATATCTCTCCAAAAGTTTATGAAACATACCTCCCAGCAGATCCCAGGCGCGCCGGCTGCCAATTCTTCAAGGAGAAACTGCCACAGCTGTACCTGACCGCCAGAAGTTCTAGCGCACCCGCTCAGGGCACCGTACGGGTCTGCAACAATACGTACACTATATTTTCAGTCTTCATCACCAGCTCTTAAGAGGTAGTGCAACATCACACCCATTGTTTTCTGGTGTATCAATCTTACAACTGCAATATCATCATCCGCGTGATATGCTACCAATTTAACGTAATATGACTGTGTGTATTATATTACATTACAAGCTGTAAGAAATAGATCATCATCATCATCAACAGCCTTTAATAGTCCACTGCTGGACATAGGCCTCTCCTTAGAAAGGAGGTTTTGGCCTACTGTAACACGTTGGCCAGACGGGTTGGTATAGGAATAGTTAATGTCTATGATAGTATCAATTTTTTCCCCATGTTCGCCATTTTTTAACAGCTACTACTAGCTGAGCTAGCTCTACTCTGCAGGCAGCGTTTTAAGTCTTTAACATTGATTTGATTCATAAAAGGTTTACCAGAAAATTACCAAATTGTGACAAAGATTTCGGATCTCGTTTATCTATAGATCTTAGTAAAATACTATTCTGACATTAAACAGACCAAATTAAAAAAATACTATATCTAAATATGCCTACTTAACAAATAATACCTGCAAAAACGAATGGAAATGTATATAACTGTAGAAATAGAAAGGAAATAAACTAACGACCGTGGTACAGATGCTGAAAGCGGCGGTGCTCGCTGGTACTCAGCCACAGCATCACTCAATCACTCCATCACATTTTATCACTCATTGAAATCTCACTCGATATTATATTTACAGATTTTTTTATTATTTCACATTAAATCCAGTGAGCCGGATATACGGCCGGATGCGTCTCCGGAAACGCTCGAGTGTCGGAAGCTGGCGACATCACGTCCCGCCCTCGCGCCCCCTCCCTGGTTGAGAGGGCGGGCACTCCGTGACACTTGATAGCAAGAGGGTAAAGATAATGTACTATCTGATTGCCGTGAAGTGTAAAAAGTTTTCTTCTCTTTTTTAGTGAATTATTTTATCGTCTCTCGTCTATGCCAAGTAAGTGTTTAAACATTCAAGATGTAAGTAAAACGTGCTTAAACAAACTTAAAGATTGAAAAAGTAACATTTATAGAGATTTGAAATTACCGATATTATCTATATGTATACGTGACGAAAATGTTGTGTACACTTTTTTTAACAAAAATGGCGCACGAAAGCAATTCATATTTGTAATATATTTTTTTATGGTATAGGAGGACAAACGAGCAGCCGGGTCACTTGATGGTAAGTGACCATCGCCGCACATGGACATCTGCTACCCCAGGCCGTGGTATCAATCCGGTGGATATTTGGCCTGCTGTTTTCTGCTGAAGCACGGCTCTACCACGATAAAGATATATTTTATGTGTGTACTAAAATATTTAAACAATGTGTGCTATCAAGTTAAATATTACGTAAAAAAAAATTGGAAGGAAAAGGATTTTGCATATATTTAGACAACTCGCAGTTATAAAGTCTAAAAATTAATTACCTATCTTAGTGGTCAATTAAATTAAATAATAGATTCAAAACGGTCGACATCGACCGAGATCTTTAGTATAGAAAATACATAGTATATGTTTAAATAAAGATATAAAAGCATATGTTTAATTTTAAAAAAATATTTACAATCACGGGTATTTCTACATCTACAATATTTTCAATTCTGTTCAGTAAATATACTAAAACACCTTTGACTGGACTGTTGGTCTAGTGGTTAGTGAGTGCTAAGCCAAAGGTCGTGGGTTCGATACCCACCCAGGACAAATAATTGTGTGATGAGCATGGTCATTTGTTCTGTGTCTGGGTGTACTTTATCTATAATATGCATGTTTTAGAAATATATATGTATGTTTATCAGCAGACTCCGCCTCCGTGTGTGAAATATTATTATTATAGAAAATCTTTAAATGTACTCGTTAACCAAGGATTATCTAGCAACATACGATGCTAACGATAAATGCCTTCATTTGGATAACTCTAGTATAGTTTAATTATATTTTAGTGTGATAGTCCTATGTAAATCATTCAATACTCTTTTTTGCTTCCACCATTTACAGCCGCTTTTATTCGTAAAGCTGAGATTTTTAACTTTCTGATAAAAAAAAATTGTATTGATTTTTTTTAAAGACAACTCCCGCACTAGGAATATATACTGTGTCGCGGGGGACTTTACAAACATACATGAAACGGACACAAAGAACACCCAGACTTAGAACAACAATTTGTGGATCACACAAAGTGTCGTCCCATGTGGGGATCGGACCCACAACACTCAGCGTAGTAGTAAGCGGCGTGGCGACCGCTTAAACCACTACGCCACCCGTGCAGTCATTCTGTCAGTTCTGTAGGTTATTTTCACAATCATGCCAAAATTTAATAAGAGACTTACAATTAGCTCTCAAAATAGCTTAGAGTATCAGCTATTTTTTTTATTTACATAATTTAAGATAGTAATAAAACATCCTAAAATCCTAGCGAATAATCCACCAAGAGACGTCACCGTTTGTGTCAAGGGGTGAGTTAATCCCGGCGTTGTAATGAAGCCCTCACGCTGTGAGTACAGCCGGGTTAAGCCACTCCGACCGACGCACCGACAAACATTCCTCTTACATTAATATTACTAGAATATTTAAACTTTCGCGAATAGTAACTCTACATTAACACGAAGAGAATAAACGAGAGTACATTCACATAAATCAGAACTTATTTATTGGACAGCCAGTAGTTGTTACATTATTTACTAAAATCTAAAGCATGCATCTTTTATATTACGATTAATGCACAACATTTAAAGGCATTTAAAACTAAAAATAAAAATAAAAAATCAATGTGATTTTAACACTTAATTGAACAAATATAAAACAAAAAATTGAATATAATAATAATGATATATAAAACAAACAATTAACAAGCTTATTACTATTATATGATTTTAACTTTAACCACCTAAGAGACCACTTGAATCATTTGCTAAGCCTAACTAACCTCATAGCACCTTATAACAACTTTTTTGAATTTTGGGATTGCATCGGCGAATACGTCTACCTCCCCACAAATGGCATTGTATGCTTTGAACAAACGAAATAGCGTTGAGAATTGTTTCAGATTGGTTTTGGCCGATGGCTGATAAAACAACCCTGCGTTAGCGAGGGCTTGTCTAGGCACACAACATGGTACCCTCAAGCAAAATGAGCTCAAAAGCAGTGGACAGTCGAACTTACACCTAATTACTTTATAAAGGAATGTCATATCATGCTATTGTCGACGAATTAACAGGCTATTTATATAAAACTGTCGCTATTTATCGCTGTATGAAGGAAGTTGCATTTGTAGCCCACTTGAAAACGTAAGGTGTCTGACGAATCGCTTTTGAATACGTTCTGTTCTAAATAAGTCTGTCAATAATACATTTCTAAATATAAATTTGAGATCACATGCTTTAAAATGGGCAGGTGTTGTGAGTATGGCTTTGAAGGTGTTTCATTCATCAGACACCGATGTTTTGTTCTAATTTAACTTTTAGTTAGTCACTAGCTAACAACGAAATTCAGAATGACATTGCTTTGAGAATAGCGTTTTTCTATTTCTAACTTTAAAGATTATACTTTGTGGACTACAATCGCAAATCTTTTAATGAATCATATTCCTTGTGGTGCAAACGGAAATCTCTGACTGAATAGGTACAACGTAGCTTGTAATATATATATATATTTTAATTAAGAGCCACATCCATACTTTTATTGAAAATGTGACAGTTTGTTTATTGGTTACGCTTTCATGGCTTAATAATTAAACCAATTTTAAAAATTCTTTGTCCAATGAAAAGCTACATTATTAGGGAGTAACATAGACTCCTTTTTACCTAAATAACCTACACACACGCGGGTAGAGCCGCTGGCGAAAGATAGTAAAACATACATCATGCAATCGTATTTAGGAGAGAAGAACTTCTGAGAAGTAGTTCTGAAAAAATATGATTGCGGACTGAAGATGGCGGTATATTTCCGCCCTTGAATGCTCTGGTATTCTCACTCAATCGGTTAAACCAACGAAAGAACTAAGAAAGTTACTTACACCGGGTTTTTTTGCGAGGCCGTGGTATTATTGACTGTCTCGGTAATGCAGCGGTAGCGTATGCGACTGCTGTACCGAGGTCTCGGGTTCGTTTCCCAGGTTATATTTGTTTTGGAGTTTATGTGTTTTCTATGTATAATATGAAAGTATTTATAAAAAAAAAGTAAAATAAGTATTCTATCAGTCAATCTATCAAGCTCTCTTTCGTAGCACAAGCACTGCTTAGTTTGAAACTGGATGGTGTTGTGTGTTAGATGTCTGTAATATTATTATTATTATTCTAGTCGAACTGACCCCAGATGTGCTGCTGCATTGTCCCCCACGCATAAGCGGCTATACTCAGTTTGTTTAGTCATCAACTGTATATGAGCTGTATATTTATATTATTAAATTTATTTATAAATCCATCAAACCTTGGGTAGAAAATAATAAGTCTGTTGTTTAGTACAAATATTATTCCTTACCATAGACCAGACCTAACCAATGAATCACAGAACATGACCAGATATAAACGCTACCCACATCGAGACGGGTTTAACCGCGGATGTGTGTAGGGGTGCGCAAACAACTGTGAATGAATGAATGTTTATCCTGGAGAAAGTCACTTGTGATCTGTGTACCACCTACGCGCACATTCCACCTGCTCAATATGCAGATTGAAACATAAGTATGCGGTTATTACTTCAACCTACAGAGTCCAGTTATTTTTGGATAGTGGTTTGATCAACTGTTGTGTGTTGCTCAGTTGTTTTTATCACTCACTAAGGATTTAGGTACATAAAAAGTTAATATTAAGGCTATTTACGTAGGTCACTATATAAGTTTTAAGAAGCTCGCAATTTGAAAATGAAACGCAACTATGTCATATACTATTAAAAGAAAAAAATATTTGAAAATCGAACACAAAACGCCATCTTCAACAATAAAAAGAAAATGAAGTATTACACTGTCATTTTTCCCGCTTTGTCGTCTGCTACAATGGAGCTTAAAAGTGAACATTTGCGTGCTATGATATATTACGACTTTAAATGTGGCTTATCTAAGCTCAGAATGATTAAAATCAGCTTTAGGTGAGTCTGCTCCTTCTCGGGCAATTTTTAGATGTTTTAACGAATTTAAAATAGAGAAAACTAGCCATGAAGATGATGGCAGATGAGGACGCCCGCTAACAGCAGTCACAGCTGTGTGGACTACTGAAATACTTGTGCGAGATCACCCACGAATTACATACAGAGACAGAGAAAATCTTGTGTTCACACCAAATTACATGAACATCTTAAAATAAGGAAGCATTGTTGCGTGATATGCGTCTGTCTGTGTTTTAAAAATGGGTGGTCAAGACGTGTTTCTGAAATACTCGTAATTACTGGCGACGAAACATGGATATATCGATTTGGTCCGGAAAGCAAGAAGCGTTCCTTCAAGTGTTTCTAAGACTGGTTTGGGTGGATGGAAATGGGTATGGAGAGTGACCGAGAGTATTTTGAAAAATATAATCATTAAATGAATTGTTTACCTGCTGGACATAGGCCTCTTCTTAGAAAGGAGGTTTTGGCTTACTATACCACGCTGGTCAGACGGGTTGGTATAGGGTTTGTGTGGGGTGCTGGGCTAGAAAACCTCCTC